CCAAGGCCTCCTTCACCCTTCCATCCTCTACTTCCACGGCCCTTGTTCCTGCTCAACGCCTGACCTCAACGCCCGATCTCAACGTCCAGCGCCCAACGTCCGGCCTCCCAAAGACCAAAGCCCCACAGCCCACACGCTTTCACTCCCCCTACGCCTGGGACCCCTGACCTGGAAAGACACAAAAGGGCCGCTGACGGCAACTTGTCTCTGAAGTCTGGCCGTAGTGGCGTCAGCCTGTGCCTGGGAGCCCCCGCCGCGCAGCAGCGCTTCAAGGGCGCTCAGCACGCCTCCCAGGCCCAGCGCGGCGCCTGCGCAGTCTGCACCCCAGTGTGCCCCCGGCCACCCACACGCGCCCTCCGCGTGTCTCGGAAGCGGAAGCGGCATTGGAGCCTCGGTGGTGCGGCGCGGCCCCAGGGTGGTGCAAGAGCGAGGAGCCGCAGAAAGTTCCTCCGCGGGCGCAGAAAGTTCCTTTGCGGGAATTGTTCTAGCTTCTTCTAGGAAGGCATCCCTGGGGTCTTCGAGAGCGAAATTTGAGTTTAAGTTGGCAGACCTGTCTCCGCCAAAGTCCTTTGAGTGGCATTGACCACTTAAAAGTCTTACCAGATTTTTAAAATTAATCACTGCTTCTGCCTCGTCTTGGAAACTAAACACATGTGATCACATTTTTCCCCCTTACTGGGAGAAGTTATTCTATATTGTTATCTAAATAAAATATTTTTAAAACTTTGTTTAAAATTATGGGCCTTTCAAACAAGTTGTGATAAAAACTGGTACCCTCCCGTATCCATCACTAGTGTTAACATGACCAATTCAGTCAGTTTTGTGGGCTTCTACCACCCCTCCCCCCGTTGTTTTAAAACAAATTTTTACTTTTCTTTTAAAAAAAATTTTTATTCATTGATTTTGAGGGGGGAGTGAGAGAAATACTGATTTGTTCTTCCATTTATTTATGCATTCATTGGTTGATTCTTGTCTGCTCTGACCAGAGATCAACTCACAGCCTTGGCGTATGGGGATAATGCTCTAACCAACTGAGCTACCCAGCCAGGACTTGTTTCCTAACTTTCTTTTTAACATATTTTTTTTTGAAGAGTTTTAAATTTACAGAATGAATTAAGAAGACAGTACAGAGTTACCATAAAAGCCATACACACTTTAGTAACTTTATTACTGAGGTTAAATTAGTAGGATATATTGTTACAATTAAGGAGCCAATATTGATGCATTACTACTGAAGTCCATAATTTACATAGATTTCCTTTGTTTTTATGTAGTATCATTTTTCTGAGTCAGGATCCCATTGAAGATACTGCATTACATTTAGTTGTCATGGCTCCTTAGGCTCTTCTTGGCTATGGCAGTTACTCAGACTGTCCCTGTGTGGGTGACGTTGACAGCTTGCAGGAGTACTCCCAGGCCCTTAGTAGGATGCCTTATTGCTGGAATTTGTCTGATGTTTTTCTCATGGTAAGACTGGAGTTAGGGGTTATTGGAAGGAAGACTACAGAGCTGAAGTGCCATTGGTATTGCATCATATCAAGTGCATGTCCTATGAACATGATTTATAACAATTATGTTTTCCGTGAACACCTAGCAAGAGTTTGTCAGGTTTCTCTACTACAAAGTTTCTCTTTCCCCCCTCCTCTTCCATACCATACACTTTACAAGGAAGTCTATATGTGCAGTCTACAACTAAAGGAGAAATGTTCTATTTCCACTTCTGAAGGGCGGGGCACCTACAGAAATTATCTGTAAATCATTTGCATGGAGATTTGTCTCCTCCATCTGTTAACATATTCAATCATCTGCCTTTGTATATATTAGTATGACATTTATTTTGTATCTTGGTTTATAATCCAACACTACATTATTTCCTCACTTAATTTGTTCCAGCTGTGCAACTGTGTTGCTATTGAGCGCTCCTTTGACATAATCCTGTCAATGTGGGGTTGTTTTTATTCTATTTTTTGAGTACTTTCTTGGACTGTGTATGTTTTCATATATATTTAAATATGAATACTTAAAAGATTATGGCTTTTATAAAAATCACCAAAATTTATCTCACCTTTAAAAATAACTTAATATCATACAATTAGTATTTAAAATTTTCAGATTGTTTCATGGTTTTTAATAGTTGATATGTTAAAATCAAGCTCCAAACAAGATCCTATGTTTGCATTATGTATTTTTAAAAGAGATGTCTCTTTTAATTCTTTCATTTTGTTACAAATCATAGCAAAGTAACAGCAGTCTTTCTCACACTGGATTTTGTTGATTGCATCCCCTACAAGAATACTTCACAGGTGGTGTTGTAATCCTCTACTGCACTGATTTTCAACCTTTTTCATCTCATGACAAACATAATTACTAAATTTCTGTGGCACATCAATATATATATATTTTTGCCAATCTGACAAAAATATAGGTATATCTTTGATTCGTTCATACCAGACAGCTATTTTTATCTTGGTTGTTGTCATTTTTAAATTTGACAATCTAAGTGAAAAGAGGTCAGTGCCCCTGACTAATTAGTCAGGTACTGCATGTTTTAAAAATTCTTGTGGCACACCAGTGTGCCATGGCACATGGGTTGAAAACTTGCTGCTTTTTGCATGACATCAGAAGATGCTTGATACCGAGTTGTTCTCTTTGGGGGATATTAAAATAGGTCTAGCAGGTTCAAGTGTTTTCAGCCCCAACCATCCACTGTCAAGTTTCCCATCAGCTTTTCATCTAGTGATTCTAGACTCACTGATGATCATTTCATAGATCCATTATTTCATCAGGATTTGCAAAATGGTGATAGTCTATCTTCTGCATTTGTTACCTGGAACTCTATAAAGAACTTTTCCATGTCAACCAATTAATCGAGGTTCAGTTTTTAACAGGAAAGGTAGCATGCCTGATTCTTTTGTTTTCAGATTGTGATGATTCTTTGGTGTCCTCCAGGGGTGACCAAAATCAGCACACTCATTGATTTTTAACATAATAGACCTGTCTCAATCAATTGTTGTTGTTATTACTTTTGAATGCTAAAGTTGTCTTGTCTTCGAACTGTGGAAGCACCTTTAAATTGCCTCCCGAGTTTTTTTGACCCAACTCCTATTATCTTTGCTTTCTTTCTCTTTTCTGGTATAAACAACATGATCTGGGCTGTCTTGTAGATTTCTTGCCCCACACTTAGAATCAGCTCTTGATCTCCAACAGGAGTCTAGGTGAATTTTTCGGTGGGAAATTATATATAAAGATGATAGTCTGGAGAATTTGGATTGGTCATTGTACTTGGCCTTTCCAGTGTACAGACTTTTTTTAAATGACAAAAAAAAAAAAATGCCCCATAAGTTTATATGAATATTTCTAAATTCAAATTTAGAATTGTGCGGTTTGTCTTTACTTAATTTGATTTTATATTTGTATTTTGCTTCCCCAATACTGAAAATTTTGATTCCTGGAAGACATAATTACTTACATATTTTCTACTAATATATATTTCAGAAATAAAAATATGAATGTTATTACTGACAATGAGTATTATAAAAAGATTAAATCTTCTTCAGTTTTTCCCCTTGGAATAATATTTCTCAGAATATTTGGTCAACTACAAAAGTGTTTTAATGCAGTATCTTCATTTAAGGAGGGTGGTGCCATTTCCTGTTTAAAAGGAAAGAGGAAGAGAGTTACACAACTTTTTTTAAAGTGATTTCTTTATTTTCCGTCTCTCCCTACCTCTATTTTGCCAGGAGTTTGTAACAAAGCTTAACAGAATGGTAGCAAGTTTTGTTACTGAACTCAAGGAGTTCACCACTTGGTATGATATATTCAAAACAAACAAACAAAAACTATCACAACTATCACAGGGTAGTTTTATTTGCCAGCAGCAAGTAAAGGAACTGGGATTCATGTACAAAGCAAGTAAAGGAACTGGGATTTATCTGCGAAGCTGTGCCTTCCCCAAAGGAAAGTTTTGCCATTGCTTATATATAATATTTCATCAACTACATGTTGATTTCTTCTTTGCAGTGGGCTGCTTTCATCTGGTTGAGTTCTATCAGCGCATCCTGTTCACAGCTGCATCTATAAAGTACCGTGCTATGTTTTAACATTTAGTAAGACGTAACATTTAGAACTGCCCCGACCTTGAGACCTTTGTCCTAACAGTTTTGCTTTAGAAACACTTGCATTGACCACTGTCAGAATTAGCTATTTTCACTCGAGTCGTGCATAAGCCCTAAACCAGAAGAACATTACTTCACTGGATAGAGGAGGTTTGTAAAATCTCCACAAACTAAAACTGCTCACCTGACTTCTTCAGACCCAAATAGGCCACTGTAGTCAATACACTTCTCCCACCCACAATCACTTTTCGTTGCTAATTATTGAGCAGCTCCTGCATGTCAAAACCCATGCTGCCCGCTGAGTATCCCAGCCGGGAGAGGACAGACCCGGTGCTCAAGCAGCTTACGGTCAGGTGCCAGACAGGAACGCACCAGCAGTTTATTATCAAACAATGGTAGAAGGTGCCACGCTGTGGACAGGAACGCGGTAGTATGGAAACCCCCAGAGCCTCTACCAAGGAAGAATTATCAGAAGGGCAGCTAGGCTACTCCTGATGACTCTGCCTACGTCAGGTGCAAGGTTTGCTCATCAAAGCTGGGAAGTCATAATTTCGAATTCTCTTTTATCGCTTTATGCTCATGACTAATACGAGGGAGGGCCAAAGGGTGAGGAGTATTACATCCAATGAGTGCATCCTATAGGAAGAAGTAATTCGCCTGTCCCCGTAGGAGCGCAAGAGGTAGGGCAGGACTAGCTACTGCACAACCGGCTTCGCCCGAGCGTGGGTGCCCAGAGTGGCTAGCCAGACTGGCGACTCTGGGACCGGAGGCGGCGCTTCGCCGGCCGCCCACTGCGGACAGGTTACATTGGCCCAAGGTGCGTTGTGTCACACCGGCCGCACCGCGCTGATTGGCTCCCCCAGGGAGCCCCGCCCCCTCAGCTGTAGCAGGGCCGGTTTCAGCATCGCCGCCATCTTTGTTGATGTGTCAGCTCCGCGGGGCTTTGGGGAAGCTGCTGCGGGGAGAGCGCGGTGTCCACCGTGTTTTCCACCGCTGTCCCCCACATCTCCTGGTCTGCCGCACCTGGCAATGGAGAAGTTGCTTCCTAAGCCGGAGCTCTAGCGGCCTCGTTAGGGGTACGGTGTGAGGCTCGGAGAAGTGGGGTGAGTGCCTGAGGGACGCCCGGGGCGGACGGGGGAGTCGCGGCGGCGGCGTGGCGGGGCTTCCCCTCTTGCACGCAGTCCTGCATATCCCCGGGCGGCTCCCAGGAGATAGGAGAAGGCGGGCTCTGGGGAACGGAGTTTATGGTCTCTTTTCCTCCCTCCCGCCCGCCCTTGGTCCCGGGCTGCCGGCGTAGACGCGGCTGGAGGGGTTGCCGGGGGTCGCAGGGCCCGCGCCTCCTGAGCGGTGCCTGGAGAGCGGCGGAGTTTGGGCTGATTGGCCTCCCAATGCGAACTGCTCAGCTCCGCCTGCTTGCGATCTTTCATTGACTCAATCGCCTATTTCTTTCCTCGTCTGTTCAAGTTGATTGTGTGTATTTGTGTGTGTGTGTGTGTGTTTGATGTTTATTGTTGTGACCACTTTCTACGCTCTTCTGAACACTGCCATTACTGTGATTTTTAAGTAACTAAGAAACGGTTCTTCGGGATTGTGACTATGAAAGATCTGGTCTTTGTTTTTATGTTGCCTTTCTTCCAAAGACATCAAGACATGTGATAAACCTTGGCTGGTAAGGAGGATATTTCACATTTGTGACTCTCCCTAACGTGTAAAATGGTAATGCTCCTTCCACAGGTCCCGTAGTAGCAATCCTGGGGAACTAGTGCAGGTGTGGTTATTGCTCAGCTGTTAACAATTTAGTGAGTACAGCAAATATTCACATCTTGATTTTGTTTAGAGGAAAGAGGCCAGCCTTTGGAGTCATGACATTTGTGTTAGAAACTGCCTTTTCCACTTGATAGTCGTCTTGGCTATGGGAATAAGATAGTATAGCAAAGATACGCTGTTCCGTCCCAGGCATTTGGTCAATTTTTTCTGTGCATATGTCATGTTCCCTTGATGCCCAGCTTTTTTGTTTCTTCCAAAATGATAGAGTGGGAGTTTTTCCAAGGAAAATGTGCAGTAAGTCAGTGGAACAGTGTTTGAAGAGATGTGCTGGTAGTCATTCAAGAAAAAGAAAAGGTCTATTAAGTGTGTAGGTATGCTAGTGGGTGTAGCCTTCCTAACTGCTGACTACACCTTCATATTTGCAGTGTTGATCTTGTGGGAAAGATTAAGGTTCTAAAGACATTGATAGTGAAACTGAAGTATCTACCTGCGTATCAAGTTTACTGTTCTCTCTGTACAGCTACTTTTCAATCCTTTATTCACCATTACGCAAATAGGAAACAGTGATGATTGGCCTCGTTCTTTTTCCCCTTATGGTCTTTTCATGTTATTTAAAATTCAGTGAAGGTTTTGAGTAGTTCGCCAATCTTGCAGAATTTAAAGAATTAAAACTCCTTCTTACATTGTAATAGGCAAACATGTATAATTACAAATCTATCTGGAAATGTTCTGCTTTTGTTTATATTGTTTTTATTGCCTGGAAATGTATGGGTTGTGTTTATATTGATTTTATTTTTAAGACCATGTCTAATTCAGAATACTTGCATATAAACTTGAAGGTTTCTTTAAATAGTGGAGATTCCACAGTGCACAGTGACTGGTATATCAGAGGCTTATTTATTGCTAATACAAAAAGAGTGGTATAGCACAGTAACCAGTCTATAACTTTTATTCATTCACCCATAGACTCAGGAGTTGCTCTTTGATGCTACCCAATGACGGCATAGCTAATGATAATTTGCCTAGTATATTTAATGTAAAAACATCTCTTTACAGCTACATTCTGACATCGGAAAGATAAAACAGCGTAGCAGTAGTCCCACTCTTTAGGGAAAGATGATAGGACAAAGTAGCCTTATTTACAGACTTAGAAGAATCATCTTTGCCTTTGAAGGATAACTAGTAATCAACTCTAGTTTACGAAACCATCAGTTTCATGTTAAAGAATCCTTAACCTTAAGTTCTGTTATTTTTCTTAGAATAAAATTTAGATTTTTCTTTTACCTGTTATCTCTAGCTTTAAATCACTAAAGCCAATTCTCACATTTCTCATAAACATGACACTGAGTTTACAGTATTGTGAATGTTATATTTAATACTCATTTCAGGGCAACAAGTGGGATCACAGATAATTGAAATTTACAAATAACCTTCTGATCTTATATTATTTCATATCTGTCCTTGGAATTTTTTCTCAGTTACTAAGATTTTAAATACCTGTTTCAGCTAAGAAGTAAACAAAAGGAAAAATATTAGGGTGAAAGGGCGATAGATACACAGTGGAAATTAAACCCAGGAAAGGAAAATACTGATTGGATTGTCAATGTATTTGTCATTAAGAGACACAAACTGATAATATACTGTGGGGATGATTATGTAGTAAGTGCTAATGGATAATTTGATTTTTTAATAAACTACATCGTTCCAAATTAACCAAGCCCAGGCCAGAGGTGGTTTCAAATTTAAACATGAATCAGAACTCCTTAATGTAAGTCAGACTTACATGTTCTCTCTCTCTCATTTATTTTAAGGTTATTAGCCTTCCTTTTTGTAAAGGGAACTGTGTACAGGTCAAGTTTCTTTTCTCCTTTGAATTTTCAGATTTGGGGGGAAAATTAGCAGAAAGTACTTCATGTTTTCTTAGGCTCATTAAAATTCAAATCGTGAGCTCCATACAACTAGCTTCAAAATAAGATTTCTGTAATAATAACTTTGTGCTTTAAAAGTTATTAGAGATAACAAAATTGCATGGATCTAAGATACCAAGCTCATAATATGACATACAACTTGATAATGTGTTATGTGATGTGGCCCCTTACCCTCTTTTTCCTGGAATCTTGATGGACCATAATTTCTGTTTCTCCTATTATCCTCTCAGGGGATTTGGTACTATTTTGAGGGAGATCCTGCTGCATCAATTGCCTTGAGTCTTTTTAATGTCTTTTTGTGTGTGTGTGATGTAATGCATGTACCCAAAAATTCATCCTGCTTTGTGGGTGCAAAGATTAAGAACCCCCCACAGGGATAATTGAACTTGGGCTCATATAATACACCTTTTAAACTAGTGGACTAAAGGCAGCTTTTAAAATATAGTGATTATATTTCATGTAAAGGAAATTCAATATATTAAAGTTAAATTTTACCCAAAAGCTTAGTTAGAATGTGAATACTTTACAAAACATTTTTTCCTTTTGATCATACTAATCTAGAATTCTTTGAAGTAGGCCAGCTCAGTTTTTAATCTTTTAAAAGTAGAATTTTATTTGCATAAATTCACCTTCTATGAACTTCACAGTGTCAGATACTTTCCCCATGTGAAACAAGGTTTTCATGTTTCTTACACAGGTTCTTTTCTGTTCTGTTACTTTATTCTATTTTTCAAAACTATCCAGGGAAGTGTTTGTATTTTAAAGTTAATGCTATTAAAACTCATTTACCTGGGGATTGAGATCACACTATGTTGGACTGTGGATGTTTTTTGATTCAATGTATTGCTCCTGACTTTAATCGTGGTATCAGAACCTTGTTAGAGCTCCTCAGAAAGATAAGTTATTAATTTGATTATGCTGCTTTCAAAGTGTATTTGGGGACTATGTAAAAACCCTTTCCATGTATCTGTCCTTCAAAGGATGGTAAACCATTATATTGAAAAACAGGAATGCTCTCACAGGCTTTACTTGCTTATATTAATGGAAATTATTTGAAAAGTATGCAGTTTGTATTATTTGAGATATAAATGGTGCAGTTTATAATTTAAAAATTTATAGTTTATTATAAATAATATTTATACTGAAATGAGTCAGATTTTTCTGTTGGATGTTAAAAAAAAACTTACACAGATAGCACTGACAGATCTTCAAATTAAAATACTATAAACACCAAAAGTAAAAAGTTTAATATAGAGCTTCTATGTATTGGTCCCCTATATCAGAATGTAAACTCGATAAAAGAAGGCTTATTTATTGCTCTGCTCCCAAAGCATAGAACAATGCCTGTGCATAGTACATGCTCAATACATATTTGGTGAATGAATTAATATCGAGTTTGGAAATGTGTTTCTGACTTGGTACTTTTGTATGAGGCCTGTTACTAACCTCTGTGGACTGAATTCATTTGTATTTGCAATTTATTGAATAAGCTTAGGTTTTTTGTTGTTTATACTGCTAATTTAGTGGGAAAACAAAGCTGTTACAGTGTTTTCATTTATATGGCTCTTGCATGGAAATAATTTTGTAGGAATGCAAGTTGTTTCCTAAGAAATAAAATCCAAGGTGGATAATGGGTGCCTTCAGGCCGAAAAAAAAAAAAAAAAAAAACAAACCAAAAGAAAAAGTTTCTCGACCAGTTGCCTACAGCTGATGAGCTCCAGTCAGAGCGAAACCAGTTCTCACTGCTCTGAAGCAGCTTAGAAGTGTGAATTGGTCCTGTAGTACTGTGTCAGAAACAAACTAGTTTGGAGAAAAAAGTGCTGCATTAAGAGGATTTTGTGACTGTACTCTAAGTTTTAAATACAGTATTTTCTCCTAATGAGTTATAGTTGCTAAAGTCAATCTATGTTACTCTTTAAAAGCAAAAGAGATTGTAATCTATTATTGTAATCACTATATCTATATGAGTTAATTTATACAAGCACTTATTAAAACAGTCTTGTAAACAAGCATCTAGTTTTACATTCTCCCCCTTTAATCTACTTCTAGATTATCCCATCCTCAGTAGCTTTGATGGCAACTCTCCCTCTCCCCATCCCCCAAAACACTTGGACAGCAACCAAATTGGCCTGTATACGCGTTGCCAAGCAGAGGCCCGCCAGGGGACTCTGCTGTTCCCCCTCCCCACCCCGCCACGTTTAATCATGGACAGAATCAAGTGCATTGTGGCCCCCTCCCCCCACTGTTGTATAGTTATTTCATCTTTGGTGATGGCTTTGTACATACATACACATAGATCTTCGTTAACCCCTCTCCTTTTTCTTTTGCCTCCATTGAAGTATTCGTTTAAGCATCAGAAAACAGACTTTGAAAGCTGAGTGGTTGGTTATCAGGTGCCATTTAATATGAAGACTTTTTCAAAAGTCATGGGCATATTACTGAGCAACAGTATGGAAAGTACTTGTCCTTTAAGCATTCTGTCATTTATAGGAGGATAATAGTAAAACAGAGTCGAAGCTGAAGTAATTATAAAATTGGGTGGTTTTTTTTTTAACCTAGATGAAGATTCAGCAGAATGTGACAAATTTTGTTGTTTTGTGCTGTCTTGTACATTGTGAGGCTTGTTGTAACCTGGTTCCCATTCGCTAAATGCTGGTCAGTCCCCCGGATTCTTGTGTAAACCCCGTGGGTCCCACACTGTTGAGAACCGCTGAACAGCATTTGGAAAAGTGAGTGTAAGTGTAGTAGAGAGTATGTTTGGTAGATTTATTTACCTATTTATTGTTAACTGTTGTTGGAAATTTAAAAAGTTTGAATCAGTCCTGAGTGAGGTTCCTCCTCACAGGTACAGAGGTCATTTTAAAAGAAATGTCACAAGGAAGGCCTGACTGCTTGACGAGGATAAGTGCAGTATGTTGTCATTTACTTGAAATAATTTTTGTACTTGTGATGAGGGAAAATTTGGAGGAAGATACAGCGTTACAATCAGTCCTTTAAATGTCATTCGGTTCTGGAGAGAAGAATGGGATGGACGTTCTGGAGGGAGGAGCAGAGCCCTGGAAATGTCAGTGAGCAAACTGGTGAAATCGTGAGTAGACTGGTCAGGGACTGGTAGAGAGTAGAGAGTAGAGAAGTACTAGGGTTTTAGGAATGTGTTGAGAGAGAAGATTGGAAAAGGAGTACAGCTGGTCTACTGAAGCGGTCATAGCTCCGAGGTACAGACATGCAATGTTTGTTGTTTTCTTTTTTTCTTCCTTAATGGGTCTCCAGTCATACTGTGTAAAACACCCCCATTTCCCCTCCACTTCCTTCTCAAGTGCAGTTCCTTAATACTGTCTTGGTTTGATGTGTTTTCTGTCACTTCTGATTACTAAAAAAAAAATCCAGAAATTAAGACAGGTTTCAATAATTTAAAAAAACAAAAATGAGCCACAAAAAACACAGACATTCTTCTCCCTGAAGAAAGGTTGAGGCTTTTGTTCCCTGCGGCTTAGATTGAAGAACAGGTGTAATCCTGCTCTGAACTGCGCTCCATCTCCTCCTCCAAGCCAGCCCTTGTGCAGGAGGGCGAAGGCGACCGGTCCGTGGGGACAGGGTTCTCAGTACCTGAACCTCTGGAGAGGGAAACGGTAGCCCTGACCTCACTCTAATTCATCTTGTGGCACTTGATGATTGGTGTGCTCTGTGGAGAGTCTGTGTGTGGCTATTTTTAGAGGCAATGTGGTAGCTTCCTGGCCCCTTCTGCAATTGGGGGCCCCCTTCATAGGGCCCCTTCTATTGCCCTTTTGCAGAGCCAATGATATTAAAAACATCCATTCCTTCTTTGGATAGGGTGACACTTGCCCTAGTGCTGTCTGAAGTCATTTGTCGTTTTCATTAACCTCTATCCTCCCATTGGAATTGCAGGAAGGAAAACGGGAGGGAGGAATGGAGTGAGATGGGGCAGTTCACGTGTCCCAGGTGTGGAGCAGTCAGGCCTGGATTGGGTTGCAGGTGGGGAGAGTGACAGTAGAAAGGAGGGTATAATTAATTGTAGGAGACATGAAATTGGTAAAACAGGACAAAGGAAAGGAAGGAGTCATGGCCAAGAAAAACTTTACCACTGACAGATTAGCTGGGAGTGCTCCATTACTGGAGCTGTACTTATGATTTTAGATTTAGCTGTTTAAGGGGGAGGCTGTGGTGCAACGTTCAGTGGAAATCCTTATACTCAGATGGAGATTTTAATGTAGATAACAGTTAAAATGAAGGTATGGATAATTCATTAACTCAGGGACACAGGGCTGAAAATAATGTGGGTGTCAACTATGAGTTGTTGGTTCAAGTTACTTAAGTGGATAAAATTTGGGAGGGAAAAGAAAGCTGAGGACTGAAACCCTGGAAAAATGCAACAGCTGGATGAGAGGATAAGAACCAATGTTTTGCGTAGTGCTTTTCTTTCTTTCTTTCTTTTTTTTTTTTTTTTTGGTCTCGGACAAAGTTTGACTCAATCAAGATTCATAAAGTTCTCAAATGACCAAGTTTCTTCTCACTTGCGCCGTCTATTCTGGAGAGACACAATGCCTTTATGGACTTACTAAGATTCTTTTTCTTCAATCCATTACGTTTTGGTCAGCTCTGAGTTCTACCTCAGTTGATAACATAATGGGCTAATTATGATGTTTAAAACTATGTCCTTCGTTAGCTTTTACGATTACTTTCTAAATTAGAAATTCAAATTTAGCAGCAACACATTTGCAGGTTATCTCTTAAAGTGAATTACTTTAAGGTAATGTAGATATATAGTGCCCCTGTTGGAGAGTGATTTTACTTTGTCCTAGATTTTGGAATACAGCATACTTGTGAGGTCTTAATTATGAACTTACTGCATTTATTTGTATTGTCTAAACCAAGCTTTAATACAAGTGTGGACTTTGTCTTAGTTATAACATATATGCAGCAGGAGAATGATAATTTCCATTTGATTGTTTTGCAATACGTTTCACAGCTAGGTAATTCTTACTGTTAAGGCCAATGTCAATATTAGTTGATACCTCAAAGGACAGTTTAAATTAAAAGACAGTGTTTGACAAACAAGCTGGTCATCTTTTCCTTTCTTAGAATTATTCTTCCTGTTTCCTGCATTCCTAGAATAGTGTTTCTCAAATACTAGTTATATCATGTCACTCTGTGTTTTAATTCAACACATTTTTGAGAACCTCCTGTATGCCAGAAGCTCAATAGATTAATCAGGCATACACAAGTTGGTTGTATTTATCGTCCTGAGCAAAAATCACTCCTGCCTATCGTTCTGAGCATTCCACCTGACCATCTTCTCTTACCTTTTCACCATCTTCGGACTACCACCTCCATCATAGACCAAAGTGAGCATGAATCTTTCTGTTATTCAAAAAAGTCAATCTTTCTGCTTTGTTTTTTATAAGTTCATCTTCCATCTGGAGTTATTTCTTTCCTAGCTTCTGTCAAAACTGTGATCTGCCCACATTTTTACCCAACTTGATATGACTCTAGTAATTTATCTGCTGTGTTGGAGTCTGACAAGAGAAGTTGACAATTCCCCTTTTTCTTTTTTTAAATAAAGATTGCGGGAGTGTTTTATATTTATCAGTCTCAGGATAATTTTGAAGTTGAATTATTTTCAGGAAATAGCTGCAATAGTAACCCTTATATATAGCATACAAATGTATTCTAAAATGGTTGCATTAGTTTAGTAGATGTTGCTTTTACAAAACGTAGGCTTTGCATATAGCCTCTATTTGTGTTGCACAGATTATTATTTATTTTTGATGAACATGTTTGGAAATCACCATGGTACTTCCTGGATCCTGGCCTGAATGAAAAATGAATTTCTGCCAGGGATGCTTTACACTGTAATTTTTTTCAGCTCGGCTCTAGGTGTTTGGGTTGTAGGTAACTGTGTGTTTTGTTATAAACGGTTTTCCTTCTCAGTAACTTTTTGTCATCGGTAATATGTCTTTTTTTGTTGAATTTATTGGGATTACATTGGTTAGTAAAATTACATAGGTTTAAGGTTTACAGTTCTGTAATCCATCATCTGTATGTTGTATTGTATGTTCACCACCTCAAGTGGTAATGTGTCTTGCATTATTATTTTAGATTGCAATTCCTCTTCTGGTGTTTTCATTGCTGTCTTATTTCCCCAGTATTTTATTACAGATTCTTGAGATACTCATTTTCTTCCTATGGAGCTGAAGGAATTCTAAACAATTCTTTGGCACTGATCTTCCAGTCACCAGTCTTATTCCGTACCCAACCCGCGTCTTACGGGGGTGATTGAAGAAGGGCAGGCTGCACCCGCAGTGGAGCGGTGCGACCGAATTGGAGGGGAGAGAGTGAGGCTTTGGAGCACCCCAGTGGTCATGGCACGCTTGGCCGGGGCGCTCTCTTCTTTTTTCCCGCCTCAGGGAATGGCTCTTAAAGGAATAATTAGTGGTAAAGTTGTGGCCTTAGTTATTCCACATCATGGGATATGTGCAAATGCATATGGGATCGTGGTTTTAAAAAACTTTCCTTTTTAAATTTTGATGTTTTGACTTAGGATGTAAAACGAAGATCAGGAACAGATTGGAAGAAATACAGTGTAACTTGGTGCCGGTCAGCATGTCAGAGAGAGAGCACGGAGCCGCCGTTTCCTCGGAAAAAAGTATTGGGAAAACATCTGTGTTAAAGGAAGACTCGTGCGACTCGTTTTCTGGTGATGAAAGCAGCAGCTTAGAAAACGAGTCCAAACCGTCGTCATTAAATTTTGATAAAACTTCATGTCGGCCTGATGAACATACTAATCAGATTGAAGCAGAGGAAAATTATGTTCCAGATCACGGTGGAGGTGAGAATTCTCGTGGTAAAACAAACACATGCCGAGTAGAGACTGAACAAATAGCTAATTTTCCTGATGGAGATTTTACAAAGCGAGTTTTTAAAACAAATGAAACAGAACAGACAGTAACTCAAATACTGGCGGAATTAACGTCTCCTGCGTTTGCAAATGCAACTCTTCAAAAGACTTACTCAGAAAGTCCCTATGATACAGATTGCACCAAGAAACTTATTTCAAAAATAAAGAGTGTTTCAGCATCAGAGGATTTGTTAGAAGAAATAGAATCTGAGCTCCTGTCTACAGATTTTGCAGAGTATCGAGTACCGAATGGAATGAACAAGGGAGAACGTGCATTAATTATGTTTGAAAAGTGTGTGCAGGATAAATATTTGCAGCAGGAGAACACCATAAAGAAGTAAGTTGTTTTTTGTTTTTTTTTTCCCTTCAGGTTATTTTTTTCCACAGGGATTAAAGATGGCATTCTTTAAAGGAAGATATCATCTTGTCTGCTTCTAATTCCGCAATAGAGTCATGCACATTGTAGTTAGTCAACAAGTATGTATTTGGTGAATAATTAAGCAGAGGTCAAGTTTGAGTAGGTATTTATAAGTGTTTTTGTAGAATGTGGTATTTTATCTTCGTTATTTTAGAAATAGGTGTACATCAGTGTTTTTAATTGGGTGGGCAAAAGGTTTACAGTTGTAATACAAATAAATAATATAATAATTAACAAGTAATAATACAAGAATAAACTGTATTTTGTGCACTCACAACTGTAAACCTACTTTTGCCCACCCCTGTATATATTATATACCTGTCATACATTAGCTTATGTAAACATGTATATATAAAGTCGATATTTTTAATATGATTCAAAATATGTTTGCTTTACATCTTAATATATAAACCTAAAAGAGTATTTTATTAAAGATCTAGAAATATTTATAAAAGGCAACTCAAATTTTTCAGTTTTGAAAGAATGTTGAGCATATTGTCAAAATGCTGTACAGAACTAATAGTAGCTCAGCTCTGGCTGGTGTGGTTCAGTGGATTGAGTGCGGGCCTGTGATCCAAAAGGTTACAGGTTGAATTCCCAGTCAGGGCATGTGCCTGGATTGCAGGCCAGGTCCCCATTTGGGGGCATGTGAGAGGCAACTGATCAATGTTTCTGTAGCATATTGGTGCTTTTTCTCTTTCTTCCTCCCTTCTCCTCTCTCTAAAAATAAAAATAAATAAAATCTGTAAAAAAAAAATACTGAGTAATTCAAAGGAAATGAGAAATTATAAAATAATTTTTCCTAAAAATCCGCATTGTAAATTCATTGGTTAAAAAAACTAAAATTTAGTGAACAGAAGAATTTGTTGATTATCATTCAGTAAATAACAGTATAGTTGATTTTGGACCTCTTGTATTTGTGGAGTTAGCTTTTATTTTAATGAGTTTAATTTCACTTTATTTTTTCCTAATAGTATTATATTGTGCTATATTTTTATTATAGATTTATCTGTGGAAGCGATGCATATATTGAGGCACTGTTTTGTAACCTTTAAGAAAGGAAAACAAACCATGCAAGTCTTCACTAAAATACAGGCTGATTCTTAAAAAATGATACTTGAATGGGAGGTGTATATGTGTAGAGAAAGAGGAGGAGGAAGCTTACACACCAGAGGAGGATGACAGAAGAAAATACAGCATAATTCAAGTACTGCTGGATATGTAATTGGCCTTTAATCATAACTCGCTTCCAGTCTTGCCTTCAGATTATCAGCTGCCAGTCTGTTTCAGATTATCTTGCCAAGTGGATCGGTCTTTCCCAAACCAGCTCATCCTTCCTTGGTTCATCCAATGAATTTAATCTTTTAGCATCTAGAGCCCCTCTTTTTTACTATTTTTTAATTTTTATTTCAAATTGTGATAAAATACACAACATGAAATTTATCATCTTAGTCATTTTTAAGTGTACATTTGGGTAGTGTTAAGTATATTATATTCACATTGTTGTGCACCTGATTTCCATTGCTTTTTCATCTGGCAAATCTGAAACTACCCACTAAACAACTCTTTTTTTCCCCTGTTCCTAGTCCTTAGCAAATGCCATTCTACAGCTGACCCTTAGACAACATTGATTTGAACTATGTGGGTCCACTTTTACATGGCTTTTTATTTAAATATATACATACAGTACTGTGCATGTATTTTTTATTTCTATGATTTTCTTAACATTTTTTTCTCTAATTTTATTGTAAGACTACAGTATATAATACATATAACATACAAAATATCTGTTAATTGACTATCAATAAGGCTTCTAGTCAACAGTACGCTATTAGTAAAGTTTTTGGGGAGTCAAAAGCTACACATGGATTTTCATCTGTGCCCCATTCCCCATGATGTTCAGGGATCGGCTATATTTTGTTTCTAAGAGTGTGACTTTTCTTGATACTTCATATAAATGAAATCATACAGTAATTTGCCTTTTGTGACCGTCTTATTTCACTCAGCAGGTGTCTTCAAGGTTCATTCATACTGTAGCATATGTCAGAATTTTCTTCGTTTTTAAGGCTGAGTAATAAACATTCCATTATATGCATATACCACATTTTGTTTATCCTTTCATCCATCAATGGACATTTGGGTAGCTTCCACCTTTTGGCTATTGTGAATAATGCTGCTGTGAATATGAATGTACAGATCTGTTTTGAGACTCCAAGGCCATTTTACTACAATGCTGCCCCAAAACTAGTGGCTGCTGTGCCTACTTATATTTTTCCTAGAATGTTGTTATTATGAATAAACTATATGACTTTGTACTTGAACCACAGTGTTTCTGCCATTCTTGCTTTTTAGGGTAACTTTCTTGTTTTCCTGCTATCCAAAGACCTTCCCCTTGAGATTATCCCTGATGCCTCTTCCCACTTTCCATAGATCTGGACTCTTAATCACTTTGATGCCTCTCTTGTAAATGATAAGATTTACTTTTATTAATAATAGCAACAAACATGCTGTTAATTATGTGCCTGGCACTTTATGAATATTAACTCACAGAATCCTCACAATAACCCTATTTGGTATGAACTATTATTTATTATTTTACAGATGAGATACCTGAAGCACAAAGAGATTAAGCACTTGTTCAAGATCACATGTCTATAAATGGCCAAGTTAAAATGTGAGCCTAGTGAGTTTGGTTTCAGAGGATTTTTCATGTGGTATCTGAAATGAACTAGTTACAAGTTACTAATTTTTTACTATATTCCTAATGTTTTTAGATACATTTAATTCTTCCTTTTTACTGTGCCCTGTCTGAACAGCAGCAGCGTGGTAGACTGGGGTAACACAGCTCTGCCCAGAACCCCGGAGCTGGAAGGCCCCCCTGGCCATTGGCGAGCCCTTTTTCGTTGGCCAGATCAGCCTCTGAGCCAACGAGTTTTCCTCTGTATGAGGAGGATGATACTTACTTGATGGGATTGCTTTGTGTAGATTAAGGCATTATATAAATGTCAGGCACTGTCATTTTTAAATCTAGGTTAATCTTTTGTTATATACATAATATTTTTAATTCCAAATTAAAAGCTTTGTGACTCAGGTTAGCTCTAAAACTGCCTTTCAGTTCCTTTGGCCTTGATTTTCATGAATGCATCTATTGCCAGATGTCTTTGTTTTATATATCCATTCCCCTATGGTCTAATACTAGTATTATTTTCCAAGATCCCAACCAGAATTCTTCATTATGAACTGTCTGTGTATAGGATGTGCAGTTGGCATGTAAGAATAATTTCAGGGCTTGCTGCTCTTCATTTCTCCCTTCCTAAATTGTTTACTTGTGATTCTTGTGCTTCTACAACAACTTGGGTATACACCTTGTATAAATAATTTCAGCTAAACAACTATGACCAAAACAGCTTGAATAAACTTGCATGCTACATTTTTCTCTTTCCCAAATACCTGTATGACTTGCTTTCTCAACATAGTCCTGTGGTCCTTAGGGTGGGCTACCCAAACTGCATCTCAAGTCACAGCTGAAGTTACTCTCAGTTCTCTTGCCCCCCTTCAGTTTTGTTTCTAGAACTTACCCACTGCCTGGCATTTTACTATACATCTATTTGTTTTTTATTTTAATATTCTCCCTTAGAATGTATGCTCCATGTGGGCAGGGACGGTTTGCTTACGTACTTTTGACATGCAGAATAATATAGATACATAGCAGGTACCCTGTAAGCATTTGCTGAGTGAGAGATCTTCGAAGTAGAAGATGTAAAGGCCTCGGCTGTAGAATTAGACTTGGGCTCAAATCTCAGTTCAACCGCTTACTAACTATATGAACTGAAACACGTTCTAGGCTTCAGTTTTGTTTTTCTTTTTAATTCATGAAAAAGATAACAATTATTACATAGACATGAATATTGCATGAAACAATGCACTTAAAGCTAAACTTAATAACTAGTAATTGTGCAATAAATGTTAAGTAATAGCTGTTGCTATTAATAATCCTCAACTATCAGCTGTTAACCTTTTTGAGCATTTTACCTTATTGCAGGTAATTTTTATGGTTTTATTTATACTTTTCTAGGGGACTGAAAACGAAACTTCTGCTTAAGCTTTTGTTATTTTCCATTGACTACTCTAACACTGAAAATATCATTGAAGTGTTTTTAAAATCTAAAGCAAGACTTCTCTGTCTCAGCACTGTTGGCATTTGGGGTAGATCATTCTTTGGTGGTGGCAGCTGTCCTGGACACTGTAAAGTGCCTAGCAGCATCCCTGGCCTCCACCCACAAGAAGCCAGCAGCGCGCGCCACCCCTGTTTCGGCAGCCAGAAGTGTTCCCGCAAATGCCTGGAGGGACAGAACTGCCTTTGGTCGAGAACTGCTGATCTGAGGGGGCCCAGGTGCTGAAGGGACCGAAGTACATAACTGAGATGCCCAAGGGCAGAAACTTGAAAGAGTGCGGTGCTCTTACAGCAGGGTACACCCGCTTGATTTGAAATACACAAATTTCTAGGAAAAGGTTAACAGCTTGACTGGCCGGAGAATTTTTTTTTTCCAAAGTGTAATGTACTGTTACAAAAGGAGTACTTAGAAGTGTTGATTTATTAATCGTAAGTATCTAAACCCTAATCTGCAAAAGGATTACATTCCAAATCTCCTTTTTAAATTATTTTTTTTAATACTGCCCTTTTCATATTTAGGTTAATTAAAGAAAATAAGAAGCATCAGGAGCTCATCTTAGACATATGTTCAGAAAAAGATAATTTAAGAGAAGAATTAAAAAAAAGAACAGAAACAGAGAAGCAGCACATGAACACAATTAAACAGGTAAAAAGAAACTGAAATCTTTAAAAGACTACACTTCAATTTATAAAATAAATACATTCCTGAAAATTTGTGTATGAATAAAAGTTTTGTATTTTAAATTAGAGGGTTGCTTGGTATGTAAAGCATTCTTTTTTATGAAGTTTGGGTCATTAATTGTGTATGATAGTTGTGATTGTATTCTATAGGTGGTAGAAATTTGAGTAGAAAAGATTTGATTTGGCAGTCAAATAGACTTTTTTACCAATTAAAAGAAGAAACAATATATACCTAAAAATTTTATATATGGCATTAGAGTATTTTTGAATTTACAGTTTAATATAAACTACACTGTGAAGACTGGCCCTCCTACTTCAAATTTTATCCAACTAGCTGGCTTCCCCAGCCTTGATTTTCCTTGCCTCTCCTTTTTCTTCATTTTCCTTCCTTCTTGTGGCTGTATATTCTAGGAGTGGAATTGTCAAATGATAAATCTGTGTTTAACTTTTGAGGAGCCAAAGTATGAGGGTCCAGTTTCCCCACATCCTTGTCAACACTTGTTGTTGGACTTCCTGATAATAGCACCGTGATGGGTGTAGAGTGATGTCTTGCGGTTTGGATTTGTATTTCCTTAATGACCAGTGAAGTTGAACATCCCTTCCTATGCTCCTTGTTCATTTGTATATCTTAAATAGATATTTCTGGGTAAATATTTAAGTCTTCTGCTCATTTTTTTAATTTGTTTTATTGTTGAGTTGTGATAGGTATTTTTATATCGTGGAGTATAAGTCTTTATCAGATATATGATTTGCAAATAGTGTCTTTTGTGAGTGGTGTTTTCACTTTCTTGATAGTGTACACTGAAGCACAGAAGTTTTAAATTTTGATGATGTCAGTTTATCTGTTTTTTTCTTTCATTGCTCATGTAGTTGGCATCATATGCAGGATTCCATTGCCAAATCTAAGACCATGAAGACAATCTTGTTTTTCTCTTAAGGGATTTTCAATTTGCCTTTTATATTCAGGTCTCGATTCATTCTGATTTAATTTTTATGTATGGTATGATGTAAAGATTCAACTTCATTCTTTTGTATATGGCTATCTAGTTGTCTCATAACCATTTGTTGGAAAAACTATCCTTCCTTTCTTGAATGCTCTTGGCATTCTTGTTGAAAATCAATTGATAAATGGGTTTATTTCTAGAGTCTCAATTCTGTTTCATTGATCCATATGTCTGTCATTGTACCAGTACCACACTGTCTTGTTTCCTCTTGTTTCATAGTAAGTTTTGAAATTGGGAAGTGTGCATTCTTGAATTTTGTTCTCCTTTTTAAGACTGACTGTTACCAGTTCCTTGTATTTCCATGTGAATTTTACTGTATGTCTGTCATTCTACAGTGAAGCCATCTGGGTTTTTGTTAGAGATTGCATCGAATTGGTAGACTCATTTGGAGAGCATTGCCATCTTAAAAATAGCAAGTCTTCCAGTTCATAAACATGGGATGTCTTTCCATCTATTTAGATCTTTATTTCTTTCAAGTGTTTTATAGTTTTCAGACTATACATTTTACACTTCCTTCGTTAAGTTTATTCCTAGGTAATTTATTATTTATGATGCTGTTGTAAGTGGAATTGTTTCCTTAATTTCATCTTCAGATTGCTAATTTTAAGTGTATAGAAACAATTCATTTTTTTATATTTTGTAACTTTGCTGAACTCATTTTAAAAATATTTTGTAAATTTAACATTTTCTGAGTGCAAGATCATACCATCTTCAGATAGAGAGCTCCACTTCTTCCCTTTCTAATTTGGGTGCTTTTTATTTCATTTCCTGCCTCACTGCCCTGGCTGGACTCTCTAATAAAATGCCAGCTTCACGTGGCAAGATTAGACATCCTTCTCTCATCCTATTCTTAGGGAGAAGGCATTCAGTCTTTCACCATTAAGCACAATGTTAGCTGTGGGTTTTTTACAGATGCTTTTTATTTCTGATTTGTTGAATATTTTATTTGAAAGAGTATTGCATTTTATCAGATGCTTTTTCTGCATCTATTGGCATGATCGTGTGGTTTTTGTTCTATTTATACGGTGTGTTACCTTAATTGATTTTTGGATGTTAAACCAGGTGCATAATCGTTTTTGATATATTGTGGGATGGCTTTGTTAGTATTTTGTTGATAATTTTTCCATCTATATTTATAAGACATACTGGTCTTACAGCTTTCTCTTCTTGTGGAGTCTTGGCCTGGCTTTGGTGTCCGGGCAGTACTGACCTCCTAGAGTGAGTTGGAGAGTGCTCCTTCTTTTAGGGGGAAGAGTTTGTGAAGAATTGGTATTAATTCATTAACTGTTTGCTAGAATTTACTTATAGTCACTTGAGCCTGAATTTTTCATTGTGTGTAATTTTTTATTTTTTGATAACTAATTCAACATCTTATTGTAGATTTATTTAGATTTTCTGTTTATTCTTGAGCCGGTTTTGCTAGAAATTGTTCATTTCATAAGTTAAATTGTTCTTAGTATTTGTTCATAATTCTCTTTATTTCTGTAAGGTCAGTATGTCTCTCATTTAGAGTCCAGTGATCAATCTAGCTAATGGTTTGTCAGGTTTGTTGATCTTTTCAAAGAACCATTTTTTTTTTGTTGATTTTTTTCCCTGTTCTATTCTTTATTTTATTAATTCCTTCTCTAATTTCATTGTGTCCTTCCTTTTGTTGGATTTAGGTTTAGTTTCCTATTCTTTTTCCAGTGTCTTAAGATGGAAGTTTAGGTTACTGATTTGAGATCATTTTTGTTGTGTTTTTTTTTTTTTTCATATAGGCACTTACAGGTATAAATTTCCCTCAAAGGACTGCTTTAGATACATCCCATTAGTTTTACTGTGTTGCATCTTTATTTTCATTTATCACCTAGTATTTTTAAATTTCCCCTGTGATTTCTCACATTGGCTATTTAGGTGTTTAATTTTTACATATTTGTAAATTTTTCATATTTATTCTCTGTTACTGAGTTCTAACTTCATTCCATTATGATTGGAGAAGATACTTTACATAATTTCAACTGACTTGTTTTATGACCTAGTGTATATTCTGTCCTAGAGAATATTCCATGTGCACTTGATGAGAATGTATATTCTGCTGTTTCTGGAGGCAGTGTTGTATAGATATTTAGGTCTAGTGATTTCATAGTTTGGTTCAAGTCTCTTGTTTTCTTGTTAACCTTTTGTCTAGGTTATTGAAAGTGAGGTACTGAAGTCTTCAGCTAAAGGAAATTGTCTATTTCCTTTTTCATTTCTGTCAGTTTTTACTTCATGTATTTTTGTGCTGTGTAACTTAAGTGCATATATGTTTATAATTGTCAGATCTTTCTGCTGTATTGACCCTTTTACTCTTATAAAATTTCCTCCTTTATCTCTAGTAAATTTTTTATTTTAGCCTATGTTGTCTGATGTTAGTGCAGCCACTCTTTCTTATGGTTGCTGTTTGCATGATTTATCTTTTCCTGTCCTTTTACTTTCAGTCTATTTATACCTTTGAATCTAAAGTGTCTCTTGTAGACAGCATATTTTGGATCTTATTTTTTATTCCAGTCTGACGATCTCTGCCTTTTGATATTATTTAATCCACTCTTATTTAATGTTATTATTGAGAGTTGGGTTTATGGCTTCCATTTATTTTTTTTTCATGTCATTTTGTTGCCCTATTTTTTCAGTACTGCTTTCTTTTGCATTGAGTGTGTAATGCTGAGTTTTTTAGTTATTTCCATAGTAATTACTCTCGAGTTTACCATCCATCTTATCAGAATCTGCTTCAGATTTATACTAATGTAATTTTAATGAGATACAGCTATGTTGCTGACATTTACTTTTTGAAGTACTCATTGCATTCTTTGTGTTTGTTTACATTGTTTATGTTTATGTCTGGTATTGGTGATTTGTTTGATACAGCTATAAAAATAATCTGGAAATAATTTTCTTTGTAGTTAGAATCAAGAATAGAGGAACTTAATAAAGAACTTAAAGCTTCCAAAGATAAATTAATAGCTCAAGACATTGCTGCTAAAAACACAGTTCAGCAGTTACACAAGGAGATGGCCCATCGGACGGAACAGGTATTTTTCAATGTATTATCATCATTCTCTTTCTGATGATTCTCTCGTTTATTAAAGTAAACTAATCTAGTTAGATGATTTTGGACATCAGTGGTGTATTAGGAATGGGCAATTTTATTTCTGTAAAAATTAACATTTTCAAAAATGCTAAAGCAATACATAAAGAACATTCTTCCTACAAAAAATAATTTAATAACTAAAGGAAATGTAGAGAATAAAAAATGAAAGTCCCTCTTCATTTCTATTTCTCACTTCCTGCTCCCAATCTCTTTACTTTCCATTCCTTGTTCCATAGCTAATAGTTGATGTTTTGGGTATATGTATGCATATATGAGGTCTGTCCAGAAAAAGTCCAGCTGTTGTTAATATAATGAGAACATTTTGCACAATAGCAATGTAACCTGACAGCCAAGGAGAGTGGACTGTAATGCGCATGTGTGAACCATGACAACTTCACTGTACTACTCAGTGAGGGCAGTAGACACCATTGAGTGAGCATGTGTGTACTCTGTGGCCGCCACATTCAGAATAACTGAGTGAGTATAGCAATGAATCTGCATCAAATTTTGCATTAAGCTTTCCTCCATGGAAACTATTTGGATGATTCAGAAGGCTGCAGCTATGGACAACTGGTGATTAGCAGCTTCATCGCGACAGCCTGCCCCTTCACACATCATGTCTCGTGCAGAGTTTTGTGGCAAAACATTAAATCACCCAGGTGACTCAGCCCCCCTACAGCCCAGATTTGGCACCCTGCCACCTCTGGTTTTTCCCAAAACTAAAATCACTTTTGAAGGCGAAGAGATTTCAGACTGCCGAAGAGATTCAGGAAAATACAACAGGGCAGCTGATGGGGATTGGGAGAACTATGTGGGGTCCTCGGTCCCTGCTTGAAAGGGGACTAAGGCATCATAGTCCAGTGTACAGTGTTTCTTGTATCTTGTATCTTCGTCAATAAATGTGTCTATATTTCATGGTATGTGGCTGGATACTTTCTGGACAGACCCTGGTATATTGTGCATAGTTACATTCCCCCCACACTTGATTGCAATTTAATAATGCACGTCTTTTTTTGTAACTGCTTTCCCCCTACTTAATACACCAATAATTTTAACTGCCTGTTGAATCCTGTTGATTATCTTCTTCATGCTTTATCTTTATTGAAGTAAATGATAAACATCGTAAGCTGGTCAAATCCGAAACTTTTACTGGCTTCTCTTCCTTTATCTGTGCCACAGACAGACTGACATGGTACTCTCAACAATTCTCTGAAGTGGGTGCTACTACTATTGGGGTGGGACCCAGAAGTGTGAACTTTTAGGATCCCAGATTATTCCCTTGAAACTGATCCATGAAAGAGTCTCTGAGTAACAGAACACTCTGGTGCACGTTCCCTGCTGTGATCGAGAACCTCATCTATTTTATTTTACCTCATCTGTTGTGATTGTGTTTTTTCTACTTCTTTTAGCCTCAGTGCCATTTCCATGGGGTCTCCCGTCATCTTACTGAAATACACATTTAACAAAAGGTTCAGATTTATAAATTTTCCTTTGGTTTCCCATTGCCCATAGGAAAAATCTCCAATCATTAGCATGACAAGATAATTCTTTTTTCCTTTCAGGATCTAATCTTTACCTTTCTTTGTTTTATAACTGTTAATACTTTCTCCCCACTTTAACCAACACACCAAATTTAAACCCTTCAAAATAACTGATGTCTTCTAACTGTATCAGCTATTTTATGTTTTTTAGGCATTTGCACATGATAATCACTCTACCTTGAATTCCTCCCCTTGACTAACCCCTTATAGTCTATCGATTCCTACTTAACCTTCAATGTCTAGCTCAAGTGTAGCACCTAGTTTTCAAGTATAGCACCTAGTTTTCAAGTATAGCATCCTTCACCCTTTATGCCAACTCTTCCCAGGGAATGTTAGTATTTTTGTGTTTTCAAAGAACCTTGTACATTCATCTACTAGAAATTACATTGTATTATAATATTTGTTTATATATTGTTCTTAGTAAGTAAGGAGCTATTCCAGGACAGAAGCCAAGACTTACTCTTGTTTGTATTCCCAAAAGCTAATCCACTATGTGAACATAAAGTTATTGTGCAATCAGACTTCTTTTACAGTTTATGTTACCATTAACTGATTTTGTCTAAGTACAGTTATTTAACTATATAAAAACCTATCTAATTCTGTTAGCTAGTTCCAGCACAGTTTTCTCAATCCTTGTCTGCAGGCACATTGTCAAATTCTCAGGGATCTCTGGCATCCCTAATGTTTTTCTTAATTCCTCTTGAAATTTAGTAGGCTATTTCTATGGAGAAAAATACCAATTGGATTATTCAAAAAGTACTGATCTGTGTATGTATAATATTTTGGAGTGTTTATTATATGTGATTACCCACTGTACCAGAACTCCTGGAAGCAGACTTTTTCAGTCACTTTTCATGAGAGCATAGGAACTTTTCTTATATTATCCTGACGCTGTACTGCCTTCAATTTAGGTACAGTATTGGTTAATATTTACTACTAGATGCCATTGGAAATCCCTAAAGCTTAAGGTTCCATCTTCTCTAAAGTAAATATGTGCTTCATCATATTTGCAAACTACAAATTTACCAAAATGAAGGGCTATCTGTAGAAGTTTTATTGTAGAAAATTTCAGAATATGGAGTATCAGCTTATACTAACAAGGAATTTTAAATGAGTATGTTGATGTCACACTTAATCCAGTTAGATAATTCTTAAGTGTGAAATACATTAGAAAGCTCTTTGTAAATCAGATCATCATTAATTAGCACTTTGTTACTTTTTGTGAGGGAGCTAAGACTATAGATTTTAGAAATTTTTGGCCATGCAGTAAGGGTCCTGGCAGAAAACAGAAACTGGTGATTTGAGAATTTCATAAAAGGACTCTTTACAAAGGGTTGGGTAAAACTTAGCTTGCCCGACAAGGGAAAAAGGAGGATCCTGGGGCTGGCGGAGTAACCCTTGTCACCCTGTGGCTAAAGCAATAGGAGAGGGCACAGGGAGTGCTACCTGGAGACAGAGCTGTGTGGAGAGGCATCTGCCAGGGAGGCGCCTTTGACCGGTGCCCGTGGAGCCGGCTCTCCCTCCCTGCCCCAGGCTGCCTGGTGGCTTCTTTTGGCTGAGTCCTCCTGGAAGCATGAGGGCGGGGGACCTGTTGACGTGGGGTCTGACAGCCATCCTTCTGTAGCACAAGGCAGATAGGAAAGTATGGGAAAGCAGATCTGGAGGGGTAAGCGTGTCAACCAAGGTGAAAGGAATAGAAAAGGGTAAAGTAAATATTAATGATACTAATTTTTTTAAGATTTTAAAAAATATATTTTTTGGAGAGAGGGGAAGGGAGGGAGAAAAAGGGAGAGAACTATCAATGTGAGAGAGAAACATCATTTGGTTGCCTCTCGTACATGCCCTGACTTACCAGGGACCAAATCCCCAACCTAGACGGGTGCCCTGACCAGGAATCGAACCTGTGACCTTTCATGTTGTGGGACGGCACCCAACCAACTGAGCCACACCAACAGGGTGATAGTTAAGTGTTTGTTGTATTGTTTATCAATAATTTTGAATTTTTTCTTAAAATTTCATGACACGTCATGGGAATATTGTTCAAAGACCAAAACCAAAAATATACATTCATAATATTATAGAAAAATACACTTTTTTGATTTATTTTTATTTGAAAAATATCTTTTATTAATGCTAGATGTTTTTTCAAAGGCCAATAAGAAATGCGAAGAGGCTCGCCAGGAAAAAGAAGCAATGGTAATGAAGTATGTAAGAGGTGAGAAAGAATCTTTAGACCTTCGAAAGGAAAAAGAGATACTTGAGAGAAAGCTTAGAGATGCAAATAAGGAATCTGAGAAAAACGCTAACAAAATTAAGCAGCTTTCTCAGGAGAAAGGACGATTGCACCAGCTGTACGAAACAAAGGTATAACTTATGTTGTTTTATCTCATTTGAAATTTATTCTGTTTGCTTTTCTTACTTAAATAATCACAACTTTACATGATTGAACCACTATTAAACATGAAGTTGTTTACTTCACCTTTTAAGTATTAAGCTGAAATAATTCCAATATCCTGTTACCTGTCTGCAGAAAATGTTATTGGGAAAAGATGAGAAATTGACATGTGTTGTTTATTAGATAACTTTTTTGATAGATCTTTTTAAAAAATTTTTTTATTAAATCCGATTTGAAGAAATGAATTTGTGCCTCAAAGGAAGATTTTATTTTGGCAAGATATATATATATATACACACACATACACATAGTATATATCTTGGTTTAATAAGTATAATTTGACCAGAATCCTAATATAACAGTTATTATAGAATAGAACTTATATTTTTCTTGCAAAACAAAACCTGCTCTTAGATGCTTTCCAAGAAGACTTGAGTATTGAGCTATTCAGAGCCTTTGCATTGAGTAGCGGCCTCAAGGCGCAGTCTCACTTCTAACGGGTCATCATTTCTTGGTGATGGATGGTATTTTTTATTAACTGACTTTTAGTTCAGAAATGTTCTCATTATCCTCAGGAATTCTGGCAAGACCAATTTAATTTGTATTTTATCTTAAGGCCAGCTAGTTGAGAAGAATGAAGGTGTGTTTGTACTTGCAACATATCTAGTATAGTATGTCAATTATGTCTGTTAATTGGATTTAGGATTTTACTGCCATCTTACGATTTGCACTTTAAATCAGTTTTATGGCTTATAGGCCATAATGTGCCAGCTCTGGAAGTATAGTGTTATTGTATTGATTATGTCGAGGAGATAGAAAGAATACACGAATAATTGATTGATTGTTAAATGAGAAATATGACTGAGTGATATTATTTTAGGAAGCTGAAACTACTAAACTCATCAGAGAAATGGACAAATTAAAGGAAGATATCAATTCTCACATCATTAAAGTAAAATGGGCACAAAACAAATTAAAAGTGGAAGTGGATTCACACAAGGTAAGTATGGTAATGCAGTGGAAAAATGATTGGAATCAGTTTTAAAAGCAAATGCAGTAATAGTTAGTGAGGCACAATAACTTAGTGACTCCTGTAGGATCGCTTGGGCCTGCATATTTGCTAACTGTGGAAAGCTATTTCCTTGAATGATTTACATAACTGGATCGCATGTTAAATTTTATCATTCATTGCTCGCAGTGACTTTGTTCTTTAAGCATTTTTTGCATTCCTGCATTTAAGCATCCTGACTGTGTTCTATATTAAGCATTGTCAGGAATTTGAGGGGCAGAGAAGAATCCATAGGCTATTCAAATTGAAAGTATACTCTGGAAATTTTTGAAAATATTACTAATGCCAAGATTCTTATAATCCAGAAATACAAATTTTTATTTAAATACAAATACAAATATTTAAAGAATAAGTTATCTGTTCATTATGAATATAATTCTCTTGGTATTGTGCTTAATGAATACCATTGTATCAAAAAATTAATATAATGAAAAGTGATCGTAAAGGCCGCTTGCTACCTGATGCCTGGCACATGGCAGGTACTCAGTGAATGCCGAACAAATAAACCAGTGGGTGAAACACAGTTAATACCTTAACTAAAACGTATTTAATGTGATTCTCACTTTTATTCAGTTATTTAGGAGCATTTATGAGGCATATAGGAATCTCTCAATTGCTAACTTTTGAATGAAGTGTGCCTCCTGTGTGCCAGATTCTGTTTTAGTTACTGACTGTATAGAAGTGGGGGGGGAGAAGGGGAGATAAAGTTCCTCTCTCTCTGTCCTATTGTTGAAGTAATAGTCTAATACTTTTAAAATACAAAAACAAAACACCTTGGCCTGGTAGCTCAACTGGTTGGAACATCATCCCAATACGGCAGGGTTGTGGCTTGGATCCCCAGTCAGGGCACATCGAGAATCAGCCAGTGAATGTGTATCTATGGGGAACAACAAATGAATGTTTTGTTCTTTCTTTCTTGCTCTGTCTCTTTCTCTCAAATCAATAAATTTAAAAAAATTTTAAAACAATATTTGAAAAAGTCTCAAAATGTTTGTATTTTAAAAGTGATTCTGAATTTTAATACAAGTGAAATTATTATTAAAAGCCAGCAGCTGAAAGTATATAACTAAGTTCTTAATAGTATGATAGATTTATACAAAAACAAAATGACATGTAGGAAGCAGTATGTGATGCAGTTTAGATGGTTCAAGAGATGAAGGGAAAGGCATTCCAAGTGGAGGAACAGTAAGGGAAAAGGGAAATAACTATTTGGTGTTTGGGAAGACCACCCTAACTAGAACAGAAGGTTTATATATTAGGCATTCCTTTATTAATTCATTAAATATTACTTGAACCATTAATATGTGGCAAGTTCTGAGTTAGGTGCTTCCCAGAAGCTGTATCCTCAGTAGCGAAGACATGTAAGCTACAGTCCAGTGTATCAGCTGTTATAACCTAGGGATGCCCTGGGCTCTACCAATGGGAAGGCAGAATAGCAACATTTACTCCTTTCTGAAGGGGAGCTACTAGGAGGAGATGATTCTTATTTGAAATCCACATGATAGCCAACACCATGGGGCTGCACGGGTACCTGGAAGGAGTTTGGAGAAAGAGCTAAGGGTAGGGAAGTATCCTGGAAAATTGCCACAGGAAATAGAAATCCAGTCAAGGAGCCAGGCAAGGCAGAGGGACAAAACAGTCCACTGTCGTGTAACAGAAACAGAGGAGGATATTCAGAGGGTCGGGAGAGGTCAGAACTGAGGCAAGTTCAAGAATAGGAAATGAGAAGAAGAAAGTAGTTGAATTTGATGAGAGAGTAGCCCCTGCAAACCTTCACAATTGCTGTTTTAGGAGCGTGGTTACAAACAGAAACCAAATTGCAGTATGAACCTATAAAAAAAGCAGTTTATGAATAGATACCACAGCCGTAAACCAAAGAATTGTCTTTTATTATGTGTGCAAAGAACTGGCTAATACTTGCTCTCTTCTTGTCTTACCAGGTTAGTTAGGAAATCCTAGTGATTTGCTGAAAAGCCTATCAAATTTAATTTTATTTAATGGCTTTTAGTTCTTCAATGGCTTTTAGTTCTTCAGCCCCTCGGTGGCAGTGCTGAGACAAGGACTTTCCTCACTCTGGTCATTGTTCCTACCATTCATCACATCACTGTGCCCAAGTTTGTCACCTTTTTTTTACCCATGCAGGAAACCAAAGATAAACTCAAAGAGACAACAACAAAGTTAACCCAAGCAAAGGAAGAAGCAGATCAGATTCGAAAAAATTGTCAGGATATGATAAAAACATACCAGGTATGCCTAACTTTTCAAATAGAGTAGTAACAAATTATGCTAAATCTTTACTCTTGTTTAACTGAATTTTTGTATCTAATTCTTGAAGTGTGGAATGAGTTTGGTAGGGCAGTTAAATAAAATACAGGTTATTTCCTGCGTTCAAGTACTTGTAGCTTATATAGAAATCTCATTAGAGAAGTTTTTAACCAAATAAAAACACTAACAAATGTAAGAAGAATGACGAATATTAGAAGTACATGAATGTAAATGTAAAATTAAAAATGAAACCACTCTGTATTATGATACATATCTTAAGTCTTGCAAAATTGACATATTTAAAATCTTTCAAAGCAGTTGTCATTTTTAGATACATAATATGTATTTCTTAATTAGTAGAGTTAATTGCCAAAGCCTTCTTCACTTTTCAAAGTATAAAATTTTAAAAATGAAGTTGTACTTTTTCATTTCTTTTCCAATAGGAGTCAGAAGAAATTAAATCAAATGAGCTTGATGCCAAGCTTAGAGTTACAAAAGGAGAGCTTGAAAAACAAATGCAAGAAAAATCTGACCAGCTTGAGGTGAGTGATTTGTTCTTGGTATACCATAGAGTGTATAATAAATGTGTAGGAGAGAAATAACGGGAACTTACTGTCATCTACTTCTAAAGCCTTTTGGGATGAGTAGAATCTAGTTTAGTTTAGTACATAATGATTTGTGTTTTCTTTTAAACTTTCTAAAAGATGCACCATGCCAAAATAAAGGAACTAGAAGACCTGAAGAGGACATTTAAGGAGGGCATGGATGAACTCCGAACACTGAGAACAAAGGTAATTAAATCTTAGGCATGACTCGAAGAACGGTAAATATTTTAAATTTCGGACTCCTGATTTTTTAAATTTTGGGGAAAGGGCATTTATTTAGAAAATTTCCAAAATATGTCCTGGCTGTGTGGCTCAGTTTGTAGGAGCTTTGTCTTGTACACCAAAAGGTTGCAGGTTCAATCCCCAGTTGGGGAGTATATGGAAGGTAACCTCAATGTTTCTCTCTCTCCCCCTTCCTCCCTCTCTAAAATCAATAAGCATATCCTCAGGATTAAAAAATAAGTAAATAAAAATAGAAATTTTACAAAATAACAGAGCTCATAGGAGTAGAATATCAACTTCATAGCAATAAAATCTACTCTCTTATCAAAATGAAAGTATCTTCCACTTCAACTCCTTTGAAGTGTTTAGCAAACATTCCTGTTTTATTACATTCTTGCTGTATCTATAACTTATCCTTGGGCCTCTGATCCAAAGACAGTCTTATCAGCAAATTAATTAATTGGAAAGATAGTTGAACTTTAGTACTGTGAGTATGAGAAAATAATAGGTAGAATTTCTTTATAATTCTCCTGTATATATTTGATCGTCTTGTATACAGTCTTAATGTCTAACAGCTTATTAAATCCTTTCCAGTGTTTTTGTCTTTATTATAATACTAGTATCCCTTTTAATATGACTGTGAAACATTATCACTGTGTATCATTCATTTATTTAGAAATAGGCTTTTAAGTAACTACTTTGAGTTTGCAGTCACTTAATAATTTTCAAAATGTTTTCCCCATACCCTTCTCTTTGTTTTCCATGTCAGCTCTTTGAGGCAGGTGGGGAAGGTATAGCCTCTTTTCAGGTGAAGAAGTGGAGATTCAGAAAAAAAAAAATGACATACTAAAATTCCCATGACTAAATCAGGGGAAACCTGAAACCGAAATCCAGGATTGTTAATTTCCCATTAATTAACACTGCTCCAGAATTCAGCTTGGATTATTAATATATAATTACTATCTGAAATAGTTAATAAGGAACAAGAAAATTTTGTTTGTAGTTTAACTTGGTTATGATTTATGATAGGTGAAATGTCTAGAAGATGAACGATTAAGAACAGAAGATGAATTGTCAAAATATAAGGAAATTATTAATCGCCAAAAAGCTGAAATTCAGAACTTACTGGACAAAGTGAAAGTTGCGGATCAGATACAGGAGCAGCTTCAAAGGTATAAAACAAGCAACTTCTGTTTGTGCTAATCAGCAGGCTTTTAAATTCTATCTCAGGTTTTATTTTTAAGTGCAATTATTTCATTAAACAAGAATTTATAATTTTACTTGCTAAAAATTGTAAAATTTCTGTCTTCATTTGAACATTTTTGGTTTACCTTTGAAGTTCCCATCATGGCTTCTAAAAATCAAAGTTTATATTCCCTAAACATTGGCAGTAGCAATTTATAAGACAAGGGATTTTGGTTTCTTTATCTATTCCTTACCTTTCAAATTATGTTACTTATGTACAATGCTTACTTTTTCTTCTAAAAGGTAGATATATGTCTGTAGCTATTTCGCATGCACGTAACTTAAGATCATGATCTGAAATTATCCCTTGGCTTCTTATAAAACCCTTAGCTAAATCCTGCTCATGATATTTCCTGGCAGAGCATGGATTCAGGTTGAATCCAAATACTTTTCATGCCCTACGGATACCCAGGCTACTGGGTGTCGCTAAAGAAATCTCACTGTAATCCAGAGTGGTGCTGCTGTATATTCATGCTTCTTAGCACCTTCGACTTGGAATATTAGTACACCTCTAACCTGTCATATGTCCTTAGAACCTCCTCCCCCATCTTCCTAGCATCTATTCCAAACCTTATTGCTTTCTTCACACTTCTTGTCTTCCTTCTCACCTCAGTATTTGCTGCAGGAAATTAGCTCTTATTTCACAGAAAAAATGGGTGCTATCAGTTGACCATCCTCACTATCAGTCCTGTGAACCTCTTGCTCTTGGTCCTATGAACTTACCTGCATCTATAACCATTCTCCATTCTTTTCTTTCTGTTAATGGAACAAATGATCCTGTTCCTCTCTGAATTGAATTGTTTTCTACTTCAGCTGTGGATCCCGTGCTCTCCTGCCTTCTCAGGGTCTTTGTTGACTATTTCTTTATCCTTTGTCTCTTACCTCTCTCTTTCAACTTAGTTTCCTTTCTGCATTTACATATTATTACATCATATAAACATCAAGCTCCAATAACCTTCCCTACTTTTCTCCCTTCCTTCACAACCCACACACCTTTCTTTACAGAGTCATCTTTGCTTGTCCTTTATTTCTTTACTTCTTTGTTCTTTGAACCCTCTCCACTTCACTCTGGTTTCTACGCCAGTATTCCATTAAAAAGTGCGAATGCCTCCTTAGATCTGGTAGACGCTTTCTCAGACTAAGCTTTGCTTCGGTTGTCAGTGTCACTGCCACTGAGCCCATTGTCTTTCTGGCTGTTTCTGGCTTCATTTCATCTTGTGCGCACCTCCCCACTGGCTGGCCACTCGCCCTCAGTCTCCTGGGCTGCCCTAGCAATCTATCATAAAACTTGCTATTACCCGGGGTGATCCTACTCTTCTTACAGTATTTGCAGGGCCTTCAAATCATTTTCAGCCCACTTTGCTGAACTCTAGACACAAAAGTGTCAGAGGCACCTCAAACCTTAATTAATGTCCAAAACTGATCATCTTTCCCGCCCACGACCGTGGCTCTCTGATGTTCCTGAGATGAGTGATAAGTACCATCCACGCGGTTTTCCAGCCCAGGAACCTGGGAGACACCTATGCTCTTTGGCGCTTCCCCTCACATATCTAACCAGTTTCAAAATATTGTTAGTGCTGACTCTTTAAAGTCTTTCAAGTCTGTTTACTTTTATATCCCTGTGGCTGCTACCATTGTCCAAGCCATTAACAGCTCTCATCTGGAAAACTGCCACAGCTTCTAAACTGTTTTTCCTCCGTACTTCTCTTCAATGCATTTCCTACACTGGGGTTAGCATAATCTTTTTAAAAAGGATACCTTCTCAGAACCTTTCCGTGATTTTCCATTGCCTCAGGGATTGTCTAGTCATGCAGGGGTGTCCAGCCTTTTGGCGTCTCTGGGCCCCTCTGGAAGAAGAAGAGTTGCCTTGGATCATACATCAGATAAATTATGACACGTAATCACAAAAAGATCTCATAGTGTTTTAAGTGAATTTATGATTTTTGTGTTGGTCCGCATTCACAGCCATCCTGGGCCACATGTGGCCCGAGAGCTGTGGGTTGGACACCCCTGAAGATGCCTTAAGGTGGGTTGGAAGGTCTTTAGTGACTGTCTCTTGCCTCTCCCTCCGCGCCTTCTCCTTTTTCATCTTGTGTTCCAGCCCTGCTGCGTGCCGAGCCCAGTGTTAAGTCCCAGGCATTTAGTGCGGCCCTCGTCCTCATCAATGTCAGACATCTGTTTGTGAGGACCAACAGGAGTTCATTCTCTTCTTCCTCTCTCAGCTTGAGCATGTTGCCTCCTCAGCCTGGAACAAATTCAGTTCTCCTGCTCATTCCTGCTTCTCCTTTAGCTCAGAAATCAGAGAACTATGGCCTGCAAGCCAGATCCAGCCCACCGCCTCTTTTTGTATATTCCACTTTTTTGGAACACGGCTGTGCTCATCCCTCTGTATTGTCTTCGGTTGCTTTCTTACAACAGTGGCGGAATCAAACAGCTACAGCAAAGGCCATATGCCCCAGAGGCCTAAGGTCTTCACTGTGCTGGACCTTTTACAGGAAAAGTTCACTAACCCTACTTTAAGAATCAGTTCAAGCTTACACTAGGTCGGGTGACCCACTTGGTGCTTCTGGCACCAGTGTTTTATCACACTCACACAGCTGTCCTGCTTGATGAAAGTCTCTGAAAGCACGGGCCCCGTCGGTCTTGCTCACTTTGATGCCCAGCGCTTAGTTCCTAGCATGTATTGTATTAGCCATTCCCAGATAATTACATGAACTAATAAAGTGCCTTTATAAAGTACTTCCTTCAGTGAAAATTCCCAAACCATTACTTTAATGTCTTTTAATGGTTTCATTTTTTTCTTAAATATAAACTTTGTTTTTTAGAGGTAAACAAGAAATTGAAAATTTGAAGGAAGAAGTGGAAAGTCTTAATTCTTTGATTAATGACCTACAAAAAGACATCGAAGGCAGTAGGAAAAGAGAATCTGAGCTACTACTATTTACAGAAAAGCTCACTAGTAAGAATGCACAACTTCAGTCTGAATCCAATTCTTTACAGACACAATTTGATAAACTTTCCTGTAGTGAAAGTCAGTTACAAAGCCAATGTGAACACATGAAACAGACAAATGTTAATTTGGTAAGTATAATTGTCCATTGAACATTTAAAGCAACATAGCAAGAAGCACGAATTAGCTTTCCCTAATAGCATAAACCTAGCGGTAGTTGATCTAAGCTCTTTTTTTATTGGCACTGACTTTCCTGTAATTTCAAATGCTGTGAGAAGTGTCAGTTTTTCCTTTCAACTTATGGAATTTACAATAAAATCTTTCCCCGAAATGGTTATAAAGAAATATTTCTCTTTTGAAAACAAGAAAATCAGGGTTTTGGTCATTCTTAACTGGAATTACTTTATGTATTTTTTAAAGTACCTTACATTTTTATATTTTTGTAGTTTAAAAACAATTTAATATTTTCAAGTTAGGAGGGCGACTTCAATTTACTTATAAAAATAACTTGAAACTTTAGTTCAGAAATGCGGAGACCTATAGCACGTGTTTTGCATGTGTAGAATGGCGAACATACTGCTGTAGCCCCTGTCACTACCCGAAGGGTTTGAGGAGCTCAGTAAATACAACCTGGTAAGGAGTGATGATAGGAGAATCTACTTTGGAGACCTGGTATTTTTAGTGTTTTAAACTGTGAGAAATAATAGAAGCATATAAGTCACCTATTATTAAAAGTTGTGGTTTTTGTTTTATCTTAATTGAATATTTAGGAAAGTAAATTGTTGAAAGAGGAAGAACTGCGAAAAGAGGAAGTGCAGACTCTGCAAGCTGAACTCACTCGCAAACGAGCAGAGGTTGAAGCCTTGAGTACCCAGGCGGAAGAACTAAAAGATGAATTAGTAACTCAAAGACGGAAGCTTGCCTCTAGTGTCAAGGATCTTACCAAACAACTTCTGCAAGGTATGAAATTCTTCCACACTTAGACCTTGAGTGGGTTTTTCATTTGTTTGTTTTAATCATTAGGATCTATAGAAAAAAAATATTTTGACATCAGATTTTACCACATTGATTAGAGCCTTATCTTTTTTTTAGTGTATTAACGTTCATAAACCAAATTGTTATACCTCTTATAGTTACATTAATAGTCTGTAGCATCTTTTATGCTAAAGGACATTCATTCATGGGACTACAAAGTGTAAGAATTGGAAAAGTACTTTAGGTCAGTGCTCTCAAAATTTTTTTGATCAGATACTCCTATTAATAAAAATTAAGCATTTGTTCTCCATGTATATATATTTATACATTTTAATCATGTGTTACTCTATTTTATGTACATCAGAAAACATAAGAAAAATATAAATTTGAAAAGATAAGATTAAATACAAGTCTAAATAGCAGTTCGATATTTTCTCCTCATGCATGCGTGTGAATAGTTTTGTGCAGCATGTGCGGTGCCCACCCCCCACCTATAGGCCTGTAGCTTGGAGATCATCGAGACCTACCCTTTCCTCTTATAGGAAACTGAGATCCGGGAAGGTTGTAGAGCAACCAAACAATTTCAGTGATTAACAGCCAGAACTGGATCCCAGGTTTCTTTCATTTAAAAAGTCATACAGTTAATGGGAGTCTCTGTGCTTTGTGCTTGGATACAATGATGAATAAGATGTGTATTCTGACCTCTTATTCTCTCTTTGCCTCTACTTTATTTGTGTCAACATTTGATGAAGCATAGCAATAAAAGAAACTTAGCACTTAATATAAATGTGTTCAGATATTTGAATTCAGTTTGTTTTTATAGATGTAACTGAAGGGAAATTTGGGGACATCCCTGGTACTTTTCCACATCTTTCTGGACTCCAAAAAGTATGCTTAGCATACCCAAGTGATGCCGGCCAGTGTGGGTTGTTATCACAGTGTCCTTTCTATATATTTTGTCCTTGAATTGTACATTTCTAGATATCATTTTATATGAAAGGCACCTGCAGCCCTCCTCTTTAAAGTATGTATTCACAAAATTTCTCTTGCTGTTTCTGCCATTTTTGCTTAAGTGATTTTAGCAATTAAAATTGGAGGTCGTGGGGACAAATGGTCGTGGTAATTGTCACAAGGAATCCATTTCTTTTTTCTATAGCACGAAAAAAATTAGATCAGATTGAGAACGGAAGCTATGATAAAGAAGTGAGCAGCATGGGAAGCCGTTCTAGTTCATCAGGTAAAAGAAAACTAAATGTTTTAGTTATTTTGTGATTGATTATAAAAATAAATAGCATTTTTTTGTTTTAAAAGGTATGGAAATGTTTTTCATTTTCAATTTTAAAAGAGGTAGCTGTACATAGTGGAAAAAATACTGCCAGTTAAATGTTTAAGTTCTAATCATTACCCAGGGTTTCAAATTTGTCATTTTGTCATGTTGGTTCTCTTTCTCCTTTTTTCTTCTTCTCCTGTCTTCTTCCCCTTCTCCTTCTTCTTCCCCTCCCCCTTCCCCTCCTTCTCCTCCTCCTCCATCCTGGAATTTAAAGCTCTTCCTAGTTGCAATATAGTTGACATACAATATTATATTAGTTTTAGGTGTATGTCATGTGGTTCTAGATCATCTATTTCCCTACCTCCTTTTTTCTTCCCTACTTTTTCCTCTATTATGCGTAACAATTTCCTCTTCCAGTTTTCATCCAGAGAGATTTGCTGTAGAATGGTACCTTTTTTCTTTTACTTTTATATTATTGTTAACACCTGAGAACTAATGAAATGGCTATCATTATATATCAGATTTTTTAATATATATACACATATGTATTTTAAGTCTGTTAGTTTTTCTTGTAGTCAATATGCCTATGGTGTAAAGCAGAAATGAATAGTCTATAAAATTATGATTGATAACATTTTGAAAGCAGCAAAATATTAGTGCATTTATCAATTTTGGAATGCCAGAATGCTAAGTGCTTCAAACATATCATTTACTCTGCAGAAGTCATGTGAGTTGTTACAATTTCCATTTAAAAGAGTGTTTCCATGACCTGTCCAAAATCCGCAGCAACGGAGCCCTCAGGTCCTGGAGTCCTCGCTGCCACTGCTGCACCGCTCCCAGGAGTTGCATGTTTAGGGAGAAAATGCCATCAACTGTCATAATAGTGGGAAATTGTTTAGTAGAAGCAACATGGGTTTGAAATTACACGTAGGTATTTAGATCTCAGCTCTGCCATTTATTAGTGCTTGATGTTGGAAGATACATAACTTGTCTGAAATCTACAAAGTGGGGTGAGAAAAAGTCATATGTTTAGAGGGTAAAAAGGTAAAAAATTCTTTTCAACTGATGTTGATAAAAATAATAGCTAATATTCACTTAGGGCTTATTATTTGCATGGTTGTAAGCATGTCACATGTATTGACTCATTTAAATTAGGATAATAATCCTATGAGGTAAATGTTATTTTCATTTTAAAATGAAGAATCTTAAAGGCACAGAAAGTTAAGTCACTTGTCCAAAGTCTTACAGCTAGAAAGTGAGATTTGAACCTGGGGAGACCTGGCTCCCGAGCTTGACCCACTTGGCTGTATTCTCCTGTCTGTCTGTGTCTCTCAGTCTGTCTCTTTTTCTCAGTTTAATTTTGGTCGGTCTTCAGACTTGTTATTTCTTTTTCTTGAGTTTCTTTTTCTCTGTGGATTCTTACCCTTCCTATTCCTGGAGGACATAGCGGATCTTTCTGTACTTCTGTTATCAGTATACTCAGACATAAGAAGTCAGGCCAGGTATTACTTGTGTTATGTTCTGTGCCCAGCTCTGTTAGACTATTTGAAAATCATACCAGAGGAAACAGTATGAGATTACAGATAACTAGGCCAGGTACAATATCTAAACTTTTTTTTTTTTTTTTTTTTTGTCTTTAGGGTCCATTAATGCTCGAAGCAGTGCAGAAGATCGATCTCCAGAAAACACTGGGTCATCAGTAGCTGTGGATAACTTCCCGGAAGTAGACAAAGCCATGCTGATTGAGAGGATTGTACGGCTGCAGAAAGCTCATGCCCGGAAACATGAAAAGATAGAGTTTATGGAGGATCACATCAAACAACTGGTGGAAGAAATTAGGAAAAAAACAAAGTATGTATTACTATGGTAATGTAATCTGTGGTCAAAATTATTCTGATGGTAAAGTTATTGTCAAGATTAATCCTATCAAGATTTTATCTTTCAGAAAATGATTTCTTAATTATAGTCATTCAGTTCCCATTCCTTTGTTGATCAGTTACTATGTTCTAGGTTTAGGAATACAGAGATGAAAAAAACCACAGATCTTTTCTTTAAAGACATTAATTTTTTTAAAAGCTGTTAGTTTATTAATCCTCTCATAAAAAATCTGCACAGTCAGCACAGATAAAGTCACTGAAGGATCTTTATTTCTTCCACCATCCAACCTGCAGCTCACTTTTGCCTGCGTTGGCGTTGGCCTCCGCAGGCCCTCTGAGTTTCTCCATTCTCTTCTTGCCTTCTTTGCTCTGTGATCTTGAGGTCTCCTTCTCACACAGGCCATGTCTTGCAAGTCTGTGTCTGGGTTCGTTCTCTCTGCGTAATCCAGGGAACTGTAAATCATGCCAGCGTCACTTTTCTTGCCACCACCAGAATGGGTTCTGAATCCAGACACAAAGATGACGTGCGGTGTGGTCGTACACATTTTCGCTAGTCTTTCCCCAAGTTCTGTCCTAGGAACTGTTGCCCTCCCAGCATGAAGGATGTCAATGACCTTGCTTCTGCTGAAATAGTCTGCTGGTCATGGAACGTCCTGGTCCAGAGGGTTACTGTGTCGTTCATGATGGTAGCTGATGGGCATTAAGTTTTTTAAGATATCAAAATAACTTTGGACTTAAAAGATAATGTTCTGCTTAGGTTTCTGTTTTTATGACTGTGATTGTAAGAGATACATAGTGTTGTGGATTATCTTTCCTGTTGGTAGAACATAGTGGAGTAATTTATTGGGCACCTACTAAATACAGGGCATGGTGCCTGTTGACTTGATAATATATGACTGATTTCTGGCATCTACTTAGGGAGAGAAATGAGTTTTCTAATTTGGCGTGTGAGTTAACAGGGCTCAGGTCAAATTACTAAATGTTCCAGAATCACCGCTCGTCTCGCAAGTGGCAGACCAAGCGTGGAGAACCAAATTCAACTCGTCAGACACCCCAGAATCTGTGCTTATGCCGAATTCTTCTCACCAGATTCATTTAAGAGTTTTTCTATATTGCAGTCCTTACCCATAGCTTTTTAATTTTACTTTTGAAATAATTTTAGAGTTAGGGAAAAGATTGCCCATGACTTTTCCAAGTTTAATAACATGAAAATTGAAAATAATATTAACTGAAATAGGAGCAAAAAACTGCTCAAATATTTTTATTACAGTAATAAAGAAAAATAGAAAAGCAATTTGTACATATGTTTAGAAAACCATCCGAATAAGGAAAATTCCTTTATTTCCTAATATAGTTCTGTTATTAAGCAAATAGGTATTTATGCTAATTATCTTTATGTTTATCATTAATTGACTCTTGTAAGTTCCAGCATTTTTAATTCTGCAGGTACAAAATTGATAGTGCTGTTTTATTTTGCAGGATAATTCAGAGTTACATTTTGCGGGAAGAAGCAGGCACCCTTTCTTCAGAGGCATCAGATTTTAACAAAGTCCACTTAAGCAGGCGGGGCGGCATCATGGCATCTCTGTATACGTCCCATCCAGCTGACAGTGGATTGACATTGGAGCTCTCTTTGGAGATCAACCGAAAGTTACAGGCTGTTTTGGAGGATACGTTGCTAAAAAATATTACTTTGAAGGTATTTGTATTTCTCATTCACTAACTCACCGATAAATACTGCAAAATGGTGACTCTTTCATAGCTTGGTCCAGCACAAAGGTGGACTATTTTTGTAATACAAGATAGGCATTTTACCTAGATATAAAATTTTTTTCTTTCTGAAAAGTACAACTTTTCAAGCTAACAATGAAAGAAATAGTAAAAAATTGTTTAGCTATATTTTTGTTTTTTATCTTTCAGTTATAGTTTACATTCAGTATTACTTTGTGTCATTGGGTTGGCCAGAAGGGTCATTTTATTTTTTTTCCATAAGATGTCTCTAGTAGTAGTTGTCCTTAACTTCAGTCACAACAGTTTTGTTAGATTGTATTGTGACAGCTGTCATATCAGCATGCATTTTTAAAAAAGTTATTAGAATTGGTAAATTTTCGTGTAGCCATTTTAATATTGAAGGTGGAAGAAAATAAGCAACATTTTTGATGTATTATGCTTTATTATTTCAAGAAAGATAAAAATGCAACTGAAATGCAAAAAAAGATTTGTGCATTGTATGGAGAAGGGGCTGTGACTGATAGAACATGTCAAAAGTGGTTTGCAAAGTTCCATATGAGATTTCTCACTGGACTGTATGCCCCATGATCGGGTGTAGACCGGTTGAAGTTGATAATGATCAAATCGAGACATTAATTGAAAACAATCAACGTTATACCACGTGGGAGATAGCTGACATACTCAAAATATTCAAATCAATAAAGGTGTTGGTGAAAATGAAAAATGTGTCTTATTTTATGCAAAAAAACTAAATGGACTTTTTGACCAACCCAGTAATTCCAGATGTACAACATAGTGGTTAGAAAGTCATATACTTTACAAGTGTTTCTCCTGATATTCCCAGCCCCCGCTTGGCATTGTACGGAGTTATTACAGTGTTATTGACTGTATTCTCTATGCTGTACTTTACACCTTCGTGACTGTTTGTAACTGCCAACTTGCACTTCTTAATCCCTTCCCCTTTTTCACCCAGTCTACCACCTGCCTCCCTGCTGGCCATCAGTCATCAGTATGTTCTCTGTATCTATGAGTCTGTTTCAGTTTTGTTTGTTCATTTATTTTGTTCTTCAGATTCTATGTATAAGTCAATTCATACGGTATTTATCTTCCTCTGACTGATTTCACTTAGTATAATGCCCTCTAGGTCTATCCATGTTGTTGCAAATGATACGATTTCTTCCTTTATTATGGCCAAGTAATAGCCCATTGTTTTTATGCACTATGGCTTTTTTATCCAATCGTCTGTTGATGGACCAGTTTAGCTATTGGATAGACACTAATGTGATTGTTTACTTGGCAGTGGGTGGCCTTTGAGATGTACTGTAATAAGTTAAAATTGGTTATTGAGATATTTTTTAAGATCAAGGTATTTACATTCTAATGTATTTTCTAGCTTCATTTTATTTTTTGCAGCTATTTTCTGACCTGTTGTATTTGTGCTGTGTTTGGGTCTTAATAGTTAGTAATGGATTTTAAGAATAATTTTCAAATTTAGTAATAATTCTATGCAATAAAATTTGCAGTAGCTTTAGTAAGAAGATTAAGTATTACTCTGAAATATGTAGGAATACTTTATTGAAAATAACTGTATGCCTGATTTATTTCACATGATATTTAAGACTGATCATCAGCCTCAAAATGTAGGCAACAGTAGTTCAAACGGAATCTTTTTTTAATTATTACACTTAGTAGTTATGTTCTCTTTTTGCTCTTTTTTTCATATTAAAGGAAAATTTACAAACACTTGGAACAGAAATAGAACGTCTCATTAAACACCAGCATGAACTAGAACAGAGGATGAAGAAAACCTAACAAAACTGCTGCTCAGTGAAGAGACAAGAACCATACAAGGAGCAGGTGTCCCTGCCCAGTATTGTTGGAAACTCCCCTGCTGTGTATCAGCCAGTAAAAGATTCATGGTTCCATCTGTATTGAAAAGTATCCTTTTACAGTAGGAATGCACTGCAGTGTATACCGTAAGAGTACAGGCTTGATGAAATTGTGTAGTGGCAGCCCATCATTGAACCAAAACACCCTAATTTAATTCACTAATAGTCATATGAAGTGCTCAGCATACAAGGGCTTTTGAAACCCCTTCTTCATGTTTCTCCCCTTTAAAACACAAAGTCAAAAATGATTCAGCTTTTAAAAAATTATGCATGAAAAGACCAGGGGTTAATCTTCCAGTAATATGCTATTTCTCCAACTTAAGAAAAAAATGAGGTAAAAAATAAAATTTTTTGTTTTGACATTCCACTGTAACATTTGGTTGTGTTGTAGGGGGCGTTGCCAGTGACCCTTAAAGCTTTTAATTTTAACGGAAGCTGCTAGGAAGGCCAGCTTGTGGTGACCAGCAGCGACCGGGCTAGTATGCACCTCATCTGGGCTAGGTACGTTTTTTTTCAGATTCAAATTGTTTGAGTTAATAGTTGGGATTTTGGAATCTTTAGTTACATAAAATATGGTTTTAAATTATATGCTCATTTAGAAAATTCCTGTGGACTTCAGTTATATTTTAAAATGTGAAATGGATTAGCTATTAAAACAGATGAATAGTGAATTTTTTGAAACTGAAATACTTTAGTTTTACTAAGATCGAGTGTAAAGATAAATGTTTAAAGTATTTGTGAAGAACCTGTTCGCAAGAGAAGGCACCCATTCTTTATTATTAATGTAATTACATGTTAATCTGGAGTGATCGTATGGTCCCCAAATATGATGTTTCAATATGTTTATTTGAAACACAAAATAATTACATCTCTGTAACCAAAGGAATTTTAGAGTCAAATGTTTGTATCCCATTGGGTTTTTACAATATTTATTTAAGATGTGGCAGCTTAAATGTTGCCAGTTGTAGTATCAGTATTTCTATGTCATTGGATTTTTTTCTTGCTTCTTGTAACTTCTCACCTGTTACAATTCCTGAGTGTATTTTTTTCACAATTCATTATATGTTTGTCTTGTAGACAATTTTGTTTTGGATATTTGCATTCTTTTTTCTCCCCTTAAGCAAGCTTTGGGGTGATGGATTAAAAGCCTTTAAAGGATTGTATGGCTGTCAAAGTTGGGCTCATGGTGGCAATATCCCATTAACGTGTTTTAACATTTTTAAAATCATCATTGTTTAAAAAGATAATTTACTAAAGATTAGATGATTCATTGTATTTTTTTGGTATATTGTGTTATATATTGTCATCCAGAAACACAATCTTTGTACTTCAAAATGGAAATACAAGTTTAGAAATGTTTTATTTTTAAAATAGCTGTAAAAAGTATGTCTAACCATAGTGTGTCTTGTTCTTTTTACCAATAGTAATTTATCAAAATAAAGAAAATAAGAGGGTTAGTGCAATCAAATCTGATTATTTTCCCATTTGCTTCTAGACACACTAAAGACTACTTAGAGTAGCCAGCATAACTAAGTTTTTACGGTTTATGTGATACAGATTCCAACACTCCAATTTTTTTTTCTTCTAAGATGAAGAATGTATTAATGGAGACCAAATAGTGATCAGATCTAGTCCTATGTCTGTGTACTTTTAAAAATATATATATACATTTATTACATACAAAATTGAAACATTCCAGTGTTGACATTGGTACCACCATTCACTCAGAGAAACTTAATTTTTGAAACAATTTTAGAAGAAGGTTATTATAAATCACATTTTGACTTACTGTTACTTTTCGCCCCTAAAATGTAAGAAACTATGGAAAACTTTTAAAGAAAATACTTTATTTTTCTTTTGTTCTTTGGTTTCTACTATACCCTTTTTATATGGATCAGGACAGAGCAAAATGTACAGAGTTGTGCATGTCTCCGATCTCTGTCTCCACACGGACGCGCAGGCGGCTGCTGCTGCCAGGGGTTAGAGGCTTCCTGCCCGAACTGATTGAACGCGTGGCGGGAAGAATGGGTGTCCAGAGAGGGACCGTGGTCTGGATAAGCCTCAGATCTGGGGGAGAATTTGTTTTATATGTTCATTATGAAGTGTTCACATCAGAAGCTATTCTGGTTTCTTTGAGTAGGAAATGATTTTTTTGTGTGTGTGTGTATATTTGTATACACTTCACTGGGTGTCACTTTTAAAGTGAGTACTTATGGTGGCTCGCTTTGTTTCTGTGCCACTTCAAACTTCAGCCTTTTTTTTTTTTTTTTAAGGAGTGAAAATAGTGGGTTTGAGCAGAATAAGGAGTTTGAACTTTGGTATTTTCTTTTTAACTTTCTTCATCACCATTTAAAACAATTTATCTTGAAGTTAAATTTTATCGGGTTACCAATACGTTATTTATTCATTTAACAATACATGTATTGAAAAGCTCCTATTGCCAGGCACTGCACTGGGTACTGTGACTGCACTGGTGAACAGGCCAGACCGAGCAGCTCCTCACCTCCGGGGGCTCACGGTCCAGTGCAAGCAGGAGGAAGCAGGGGCCGCGCTCGGAGCCTCTGCAGCTCACAGCCAGCCTCGTGGGGAGAGGGTCAACCCACCTGTAGAAGTAGGTGACCCAGAAACCTCTCCGGCATGCAGCTTTGGGAAGTGAATCCTTACTGAGGAGCGCTGAGAGGACATTGCTGTTTTCTTGGTAGTTACACACATTTCCATACTTTTGTCACAGTTTTTGATGTTTAGTTACTCCTTCAGGAAAAGGGAGGAAAATGCAAACGCCATAAAATGGCATTCGATTTTTGCGATTTTAGTAGATAATTAATGCCTACATGATGCTCATAAAGATCACTTAATCATGCTGTCATGTGTTTCCAAACTTTGTTTTGCAGTATATTATTTTCTAAAGATTTTTACATATAAATTGAGACCCATATTTACCATTAGAAGAAAAAAATAAGAAGCCATTAATACCGTAAATGTTACATACACTACCCTGGTGGAAATATTTTTATCAATCATGTAGTTTTTCAGTATGGTCAATTTGCCTTACGAATGACTCCTGTAGCTTATTTTTTAAGATCACTTTCTTATTTTAACAGTTCTTTTTTGATGCTAAGATTGTTCATTTTTAACACCAGTTGGTGGCACTAGAAACCTAAAAATTTGTCAAGGGTGAACAAGAGAAAGTAAGTTGAAAAAGTATCTAAATATCAAGAATTTTCAGGAAAATAAATGAAAAATATAATTGTGTATTAAAGTTGTATTTTTCTTCTGGAATGGAATTCTTTCTTAAAATTCAATATGGCTGCCCATTTAGACTATGAGGATGAAACTTGTCTCTCTTCCAAAGTTCATATATATATATATATATATATATATATGTGTGTGCATTGTACAGATAATCTTTAATTTGATTACACTGTTCATTTTGTAAATATGGTTCTGTATAAAATTAAGCTTTTCAAGAGAATTCTATGTATATATTGTACTTATTAAATAGATAATGCCTGTTTACCAAGTTGTACTGTAATGTCATCTTTGATTGTTTATTAAGATACACCACTTACTAAACACTCCGATTCACCCCACTGTTGGCAAGGCTGATTCAAATTGCTTGAATTTCCTTGTTAAGCCAGACTAGAAATTTTTGCCTCCCATGTTTTGCCTTTCTAAAAAATTTGTTTATTTATTGTATTTTTTTAAATCGCCATTTATGCCCCTTATACCCTCTTCCACTTCCAACTCCCCCCTCCCCGCTGCAGTCACCACACTGTTGTCCGGGTCCCTGAGTCCTTTTTCCCTCAGCCCCTCCACCCCCGAACCCTTCCCCCGACCCCAGCTGCCCACCTGCTCTCTCTATGAGTCTCTCTTTTACTTGTTTGTTCAGTCTGTTCATTAGATTCCACTTACGAGGAAATCGTATGGTATTTGTCTTTCTCTGACTGGCTTATTTCACTTAGCATAATGTTCTCTGGGTCCATCCGTGCTGTCACAAAGAGGGAACTTTTCATCATTTTTACGGCCAAGTAGTATTCTATTGAATAAATGTACTATAGTTGTTTTATCCATGCATCTACTGATGGACAGACACTTGGACTGCTTCCAGATCTTGACTGTTGTAAAGAATGCTGCAGTGAACACTGGTGCTTGTGTTCTTTCAAATTAGTGTTAAAGGTTTCTTCAGATAAATTCCCAGAAGTGGAGTTGTTGGGTCATAAGGCAGTTCACTTTGAATTTTTTGAGTTAAGTCCATACTGCTTTCCACAGTGGTTGCATTCCCACCAACAGTGCAAAAGGGTTCCCCTTTCTCCACATCCTAAGTACTTGTTTGTTGATTTATTATTCTGACCTGTGTGAGGTGATCTCTCACTGTGGTTTTAATTTGCATTTCTCTGATGATTCATGACATTGAGCATCTTTCCATATGTCTGTTGGCCACCTGTATGCCCTTTTTGGAGAAGTGTCTACTCAGGTCCTGTGCCCATTTTTTAATTGGATTGTTTGTTTATTTTTGGTGTTGAGTTTTACAAGTTCTTTATAAATTTTGGATATTAACCCCTTAATCAGGTATATCAGTGAATATGTTTTGCCATTCAGTGTGTTGTCTTTGTTGATTTTGCTGTGCAAAAACTTTTTAGTTTTATGTAGTCCCATTTGTTTATTTTTTCTTTTTTCCCCTTGCCTGAGGCGATATATCAGAAAAAATATTGCTATGAGCAATGTCCAAGATGTTACTGCCTATGTTTTCTTCTAGGATTTTTATGGTTGTGAGTCTAACATTATGTCTTTAATCCATTTTGAATTTATTATTGTGTGGGGTGTAAGAAGGTTGTCTTCTTTTTTCTGCATGTATCTGTCCAATTTTCCCAGCACCATTTATTGAGTAAACTCTTTAGCCCATTTCATTGTATGTGCTTGCTGCTTCTGTCAAATATTACTTGACTTATAAAGGCATGGGTTTATTTCTGGGTTTTCTCTTCTGTTCCATTGATCTGTACGTGTTTTTATGCTAGTGCCATGCAGTTTTGATTACTATGATCTTATATTAGATATTAGGTAATATTGATATCTAATATTGACATCTAATATAGATACCTAATATTGATATAAAGTAATGTGTTAGGTAATGTGATTCCTACAACTTTGTTATCCTTTCTCAAGATCTTTGTAGCTATTCAGGGTTTTTTTGTGGTTCCATGTGCATTTTTGAAATATTCTAGTTCTTTGAAATAATTAGTATCTAAATAGGAATGGCATTGAATCTGTAGATTGCTTTGGGTAGTATGAACATTTTAATGATGTTGATTCATGCTATCCATGAACAAGATACATGTTTCCACTTATTCATGTCTTTAGTTTCTTTCTTCAGTGTCATAATTGAGTACAAGTCTTTACATCCTTGGTTAAATTTATTATTAGGTATTTTATTCTTTTTGAAGCAGTTGTGAATGGGATTGTTTTCTTACCTTCCCTTTCTAATAGTTCATTGTTGGCATATAAAAATGCAGTTGATTTCTGGATATTAATTTCATGTCCTGCTGCTTTACTGATCATTTATCAGTTCTAGTAGATTCTTGGTGGAATCTTTAGGGTTCTCTATGTACAGAATCATGTAATCTGCAAATAATGACAGTTTTACTTCTTGCTTTCCAATTTTGATGCCTTTATTTCTTCTTGTCTGATTGCTATGTCTAGGTCTTCCAGTACTGTGTTGAGTAAGAGGTGAAAGCAGACATCCCTGTCTTGTCCCCAATTTAAGGGGAACACTTGTAGTTTTTGCCCATTGAGTATGATGCTGGCAGTGGGTTTGTCATATATGGCCTTTATTACATTTAGGTATGTTCTGTATCATAAATGGGTGCCCAGTTTTTTATCAGATGCTTTTTCCTCATCTATTGATATGATCATGTGGTTTTTATCCTTCATTTTATATGGTATGTCTTGTTATATTGATTCGTGAATCTTGTACTAACCTTGCATCCCCAGAATAGATCTCACTTGATCATAGTGTATGATCTTTTGGATGTATTGGTGTATTCAGTTTGGTAGGATTTTATTGAGGATTTTACTGTCAGGGATATTGGCCTGTAATTTTTTGTGTAGTGTCTTTATCTGGTTTTGGAATTAGCATAATGCTGGCCTTGTAAAATGAGCTTGGGAGTCTTTCCTCCTCTTGAATTTTTTGAATAGTTTGAGAAGGAGAGGTGTTAGTTCTTCTAGGAATGTTTGGTGAATTTCACCTGTGAAGCCATCCGGTCCAGGACTTTTGTTTGTTGGGAAATTTTTGATTACTCCTTTGATTTCATA